TTCCACTTTGTGTATATGGACTAAATAATGGAATACCGATCCCGATTTTATTGTTTTCATGAAACATCACCACTCACCCACCATAGATTATGAAGGATGGCTGGACTTTAAATTTTTTTCACGAGTGAGACAGAACTTTTTTTTTACTTTCACGAAATCGACGCATTAATCACTTTTATTTTATCCAATATGCAACTTATTTGTATAAAAATTACTTTCATAAAAACATCCACACATAAAAACTCTAGATTTATAAATAAATTAAATGCTTTAAAAATGATGCTTAAGTTCCTCAATGTCAAAACCTTTAAAATCTTTAGAGACGGGTTTTTCGACATTCCTATGAAATTCCCATGGGAATCAATTACGCCCCTTTGTTAGCCGACCTTTTGAAGCAGAATTTGAATGTATTCAGGGTCAATAATTAAAAAGAGTAAAGATCAGACGAACAGCAATTGATCTAAAATAAAAAATAATGTACAAGCAATGCAAATCTGTGAACAGGGCATAAACCCCGGAAATTGTTGTGGTGGAATCAGATGCCTAGGAGCAGTTGGCATCTTCTGTCTACCAGTCACTGCCGTCGTGATGAATGGATCAGTTGTATACGGAACATTCCGTAATGGAATTCAGTATAAAATACTCCTACAAGTAAGAGCCTCGGTTAACGTCCCTACGCTCTTTATATACCTCGGCGCCAAGTCAAAAGTATCCCGCCGTGAATCTCTAGCATATTGGAGTAAGTATAAAACAATAGCCTGACAATTGTTTTAAAGAACGTTAGACGAAATAAGATAAGTAAGTAAATTTTAACAAGGTAATTTTTGTCGACTATACAATTTACTAATGTTGTTGTTGAAATCCGACTATCACAGTTAAAATTCAAGAAAACATTTACAGCATAAATTAACATGCAAAAACACTTTAAATATATACACATAATATGGCAGATAAAACGAATGTTCAGTATTGATTTATATTTTCTTTAGACATAGTTAAAGAATAAAATGCATATGTGAAAAGCAAATGATTGCGTTCAAGGCAACAAGTCAAATAAATACTTTTGGTAATATAAATTTTTTTAAATTTCAATAAAAGTCATATGACAGTAATAAAAATTATAATTTTATTTTAACCCTTAAAGTCAGATTAAAAATAACTAATTGTACTATTAATAATAATAAAAAATAAATAAATAAATAAAAACGATAAATAAATAAATTTAAAGTTTAGAAAATTAAAAATTCACACAGACATAGCTAAACTATGGAATGTCAATAGACAGCCAATATATACTGCCAACTGTCAGCTGCTGACAATCTGCCACACAAGTTTGAATAAATTTTAGTTTTATATTGATATTTATGTAAATTTAAAAAAAAGCAGAATATCAAACATTTTTAACAAAAGGAATCATGACTAAAAAAATCCAACCCAGAATGATACAAATAAAAATTGTAAAGTCCTGTTTAAATGTGAAAATTTATATCGGCTGGGGAGAGGGGGACATGATATACCTTCATGTGTATGACATTTTTCAGGTACCAACTTAACACCACACCACCTTCAATAGACCCGTTTCTTGATTTATTTCATACATTGAATAACTTTGATATTAGTTTGTGCATTAAAAAAAAATTTCTGTAAGACGTTGTTCCTTACCCCCCCCTCTCTAGATCTATGCATGTAAAACATATTTTATTTACAAACAAAGAGATATAAATGTTTAGACATTTTTTTGCTTTGATTTTTTTTTATTTATATCGTATACCCCCCCCCCCTGTACAAATTTTAAATTATAACACACAGAGATATACATCTTTAATTTGAGGAAATTTTAACTATAGAATATAATGGAAAACGTCATATATCAATCACCAAAACATCTTTCTCTGTGAAATCAAAGTATTTTATTATATTCTCTCTTATTGTTAGGGGGGTGGGTGGCTAAAGATAAAACCAGAAAAATATTTTTACAAGGTTTTAGGAAAACATAAAAAAAAATAAACAATGTTCTTTATCCGCGCGCATATATTGAATATTACATAGACAAAACATATTGGTCATTTTATTCAATTCAATTTTACCAGGGTGACCCCCATGGAAAAAAGATCTTTTGCTATTTTGTGAAAATTCATATAAATTCAATACAAATATAAAATTTATTCAAATATGTGTGGCAGTTTGCAAAGCAGCTGAAAAAATATAGTTTGGCAGTAAGCAGTTTTTTTTGGCATTCCGCGTAAACCAAATTGCCTACAGAGAAAGGAAAAAAAAATAAAAATAATTTATGTTCCTCATCAATACACATCCTGCCTTGCCTTGTGATTGGGTCAGTCCCTACCTACATAGGCAAGATTCATGTTGTTAAAGAAAAAAAAATTCTTCAAGAGGCCAAATATTAAAATAGGATCCTGGAGAGATTACACCTTTGCCATCATAAATATCACTAAGGTTTCATCCCCAGGGCCCTTATTATAGGAAACTTTTAAAGTAAATAACAAGGTTTAATTTATAGATATAAAAGAAACACTAGAAAACAATAAAATAAAATGAGGTGGTATCAGTAAAGCAAATGAAAGATCAGCGATGGTTAATATCTGTTAACAAGGTAATTTTTGTCAACTATAGAATTTACGTAATGTTGTTGTTGAAATGCCCGAAGTTTCAACTTATCTTTCAGAAGCTTGCCTCTTTAAAAATTGACCGTAATCAGAGATAGCTCTTCAGTATCGAATGTGTTCGGAGACATATACGCCATACAAATGCATATATCGGGAGAAACCACATGCGTTCAAGGCAACAAGTCAAATAGGAAATATCTGAATTCGCTAAAAAAAAAAAAAAAAAAAAAAGCTATAAAAAAGGGGGCAAGTCTGATAGAATTAAGCGTTAGCGAAATATCTGAATAATGGCAACTATAGCAGAATATCAAACATAACAAAAGGAATCATGACTAAAATAATTAGGGAATGATACAAAATTGACACGTTTCAGTTTCGAACAAGGATATGTGATATTATTTGAAAAAAAATGTTCTGTAAGACGTTCGTTCCTTACCCCCCCCCCCCCCTATCGAAATAGGATTTCCGTGTTTAGACATTTTTTTGCTTTGATTTTTTTCTTTCAATTACCTGAATTTGCTTCCGATGCCAATGCTATTCGAGAATTCTTCACTCATATAGAGACTTCATATATCAATCACCAAACAGGTAGCATTTATATAGAAATCAAGTATTTTTTACTATTTGCAGTTTTCTATTGGACAAAGAATTTTAAAAAAAAATATTTATTGTTATATGGTAAAGATAAACCTTTAGAATATTTTTTACAAGGCTTTAGGCCACATCAATAAATATTTTTGTTCGTCGGACCCGCGCGCTCGTATCCGAATAATATCAATTTTAATTTCCCGCACCATGGAGATCTTTTGCTATTTCCTGTAGCATTTCCGCTCTGTTTTTCGTATTTTAAATCTGCGTACTTTGCAAATCAGAAAAAATATAGTTTTTCGCTTATTTTTTTTTGCACTCCGCGTAAAAATTTTGCCTACAAAAAAGTAATAATAATATTATTAAACTGCTTGCCCGCTCATACTTTTTTCAGCAAATGTCCGACGAACAAGACATTAAATTGGTGTATTGAATGGGAGAAAACGTAATCAAGGTGCAATATTATTACACTGCATTTAAATCTTACATTTTTAAGGACTATCCTAGGAGCATTCCTAACAACTTTGAGAATCTAGATTGCATCGTTCTTATGTCCATGTATAATTAACTGCCCAGTTGTAATGTATGCCATACTATTTGGATACTTAAGTAATTGTGAAATTTTACCAAAATCAACAGCATATAAACTTACAATTTTTCAACTTTCTATACAAACATCCCTCACGATAAATTAAAGTCTAGGTTTTTGATATTATTGACAGCTGATTTTTCAATAGAACTCGCGAATTTATTGTGTTAAAAACATTTTGATTTTACACACAAGTACATTGTATTCTGAAGTTGATATAAAAAAGATGCATCATGCTTGAGTTTCTGATTGACAATATCTATGTGGTTTTTGGAAACCAGGTCTTCCAACCATCTTTTGGAATTTCGATGGGTACCAATTGCGTCCCGTTATTAGCAGACCTATTTCTGTATTCATATGAAGCAGAATTTGTCCAAAATCTTATATACGTGAAAAGAAGAAAACACTTGCTGTGGCCTTCAATTTGACATTTTAACATTGGTTATTTCCATTCTTATGCTGATGATATATCCCGATGAGCTTGAATCAAATAAAAGATACCATGTATATTACGAAGTCTGAGTGGTGATTCAGATAGGGGTGTATTGTACCAGACAAAACTCCTCCATCCTCTACAATAGCCCCAGGGCTTACACTTAATTATATTCATACCACAGGAAAATTGGAAAACTCAAATAATCCGTCCAAAAAAAAAAAATCCCAACAATACATTATAAGAGAGATCTTCTCATGACTGTATAGTGGGTTTGTTTTTGCGCAGCAACTATTTTGTGTTTTTCCCAATTTTTGCTATGGTATATATGATAAATAAATGTCATAGTAGAGTAGACGTTCAGGGCATAAAACCTTAGTTTAACAGTTTAAGTATACTTAGTGAAGCAAAACAGAGCACACCATCTGAGACATTTTTCTTTAATTATTTAAAAACAAGAATGTAACTTCCTTAACACTGAAACAATTTTTCAAACTGGAAATAAGTTGTACATAGTATTATTTTTGTTATGTAACACAGCACGGGGTAATTGAAGATGGTACAAACTGTTATCTAATTCCAGCAAAAATGATCCCCTACTTTATTGAGTAAATGCTTCCATTATATAATGCAATGCTGCTCATATTGAATAGCAAATGGAACAAAACTATTTCTTAAAGCTTGAATAGACACAATATGCAGGACACTGTTCACAAGGATAGAACAAATTGTACCATTGGCTTCAGTCTGAACATTTATATAAACTATGAACCACTTGAAGAAGAAATAAGTTAACTACAGATAAGATTAAGACGCCGTTTGTTCTTGTGCGTGTGCTGATGTGGAGTCTTGTTGCTTCATCACATCGGGTAGTTCTGGGGGACTGGATAGGGGGGTGATCTCTAACTGCTCAAATTCACCATCTGAAATACAACACAAAATATAAACATGATAAAGATACAAAAAATTCTAAAAATAAAGACATAAAAAAAAAAACGATGAGTCTGTGAAACACTGATGCCCCCTTATGGCAACATAACAAAGATGAAACTTTCTCAAATGCAAAATGTTGGTACCCAAAGTAAGGCTTCTCACAAGAAATACAATTGTAAAATATGAAAGCCCTAGCACCACCTGTTCAAAAGTCATGGTCACACTTAAAGTTTTTTAAAGGTGGGTCAAACTCCTGGATCAAGGCCAATGGGTCAGTGTTGTTGGTTTCTAAAGAAAGGTCTTCACAAGGATTACATATTTAAAATATGAAAGCCCTAGCCCTTACCATTCAAAAGATATAGCCCAGTTTTTAAAAAGTAGGTCAATCTCCAAGGTAAAGTCAAAAGGTCAAAGTTGTTGATATTGAATGAAAGGTCTTGTTACAAAGAATATATATGTGAAGTATTAAGGTCCTTGCACAAACCATTCAAAATTATGGCCAAAGTAAAAGTTTGAATTTTTTGTGTAAAAGTGTGTAACTCCAAGGTCAAGGTCAAAAAGTTAAATTTGGTGGTACCCAAAGAAAGATCTTGTCATAAGAAATATACCTGTCAAATATGAAAGCCATAGCCCCACCCAGTCAAAAGTTATGGGCAAGGTTAAAGTTTTTGCAGACAAACATTCAGTTCTTGAAATCTTTCAGTCCTGTCGACAAGACCGATAAAAAACCAAGGACCAATTACTTTGTGTTCTGTGTCAGTCCAAATGACTGTTAAGTGTTGACAGAGGAACTTGCAAAATTCCCCTAAATTTCCTATGAATGCCCTATAACTGACCAATCATAATCTTTCAAATGCTTTTCTTTATCTCGTCGCCCGCATGGGGCAGTGGTTAGAGCATCTGCTCTAGAGTCGCAAAGTAAGGAGTTGATCCTTACGTCACAGGTTCAAATCCCACTTTGGGACATGGAGACCGGTTCTTTGGATGAGACCGTATAAACTGAGGTCCCATGTCGCAGTACATGCTGGCACGAAAAAGATCCCTCCCTGCTCAATGGCCCTGAGACCTGAGTATTGGACAAAATTTGCAGCTCTCCACCGGCAAGTGGTGGCATCTCCATATAAGTGAAAATTCTCGAGAGAGACGTTAAAAAATATACAATTAATCAATCATCTTTATCTTGTAAGGGCTTCTTCAATGAACACAAGTTCCAAACTATGATTGGTAAACTGTTAAAACAAGTTTGTTGACAGCGCTAAGGTAAGCCAGGTGAGAAAATCAAACTAGATAAAAATCTTATGAAGAAAATCGACTCCCACAATACTTCAAAGAAAATTATTATACGACAATCAAATCAGCATGAAATGTGCAGTGTTTATTGACACAGGGTGCACAAAGGTTCCAAAAATACTAGTCACTTAATAAAATTGCCAGTGGCAAATACAATTTTCAGACTTCTTTTTATTGTCACTGTCTTGTTTTTTTGGACTGATACTAGATCACTGTTTTGTTTATCTTAACAGGGCCTACTGACAAACTTCACTGTTTTGTTTATGGCAGTCAGTCTCACTCACTGTCTTGTTTATAAAGCAGTCTTAACAGTGCCTACTGATCACTACTCACTCACTGTTTTGTTTATAAGGCAGTCTTAACAGTGCCTACTGATCACTACTCACTCACTGTTTTGTTTATAAAGCAGCCTTAACAGTGCCTACTGATCACTACTCAATCACTGTTTTGTTTATAAAGCAGTCTTAACAGTTAACAGTGCCTAACAGTGCCTACTGATCACTTCACTCACTGTTTTGTTTATAAGTGAGTCTTAACAGTGGTTACTGATTACTGTTTTGTTTATCAGGGCCTACTGATAAAGTTCACTGTCCATCACTGTTTTGCAGCTTAACAGTGCCTACTGATCACTACTCACTCACTGTCTTGTTTACAAGCAGCCTTAACAGTGGCAGGTGATCACTACTCAATCACTGTTTTGTTTAGCAAATGTAACAGTGCCATGATCACTCTCACTCACTGTTTTGTTTATCATCTTAAAGTGCTAAAAACTGTCTTGTTTATAAAGCAGCCTTAACAGTGCCTACTGATCACTACTCAATACTGTTTTGTTTATAAAGCAGCCTTAACAGTACTGATCATCATCACTGTTTTGTTTATAAAGATATTAAACCACTGATCCTACTCACTCACTGTCTTGTTTATAAAGATCACTACTCACTCACTGTCTTGTTTATAAAGCAGCCTTAACAGTGCCTACTGATCACTACTCACTCACTGTTTTGTTTATAAAGCAGTCTTAACAGTGCCTACTGATCACTACTCACTCACTGTCTTGTTTATAAAGCAGTCTTAACAGTGCCTACTGATCACTACTCAATCACTGTTTTGTTTATAAGGCAGCCTTAACAGTGCCTACTGATCACTACTCAATCACTGTTTTGTAAATAAAGCAGTCTTAACAGTGCCTACTGATCACTACTCAATCACTGTTTTGTTTATAAGGCAGTCTTAACAGTGCCTACTGATCACTACTCACTCACTGTTTTGTTTATAAAGCAGTCTTAACAGTGCCTACTGATCACTACTCACTCACTGTCTTGTTTATAAAGCAGCCTTAACAGTGCCTACTGATCACATAATCTGTTTTGTTAAAGGCAGCCTTTTTCACTATCACTTACTGTCTTGTTTATAATGGTCTTAACAGTGCCTACTGATCAACACACTGTTTTGTTTATAACCAAACTATGATTGATTCAATTGTTATAAACTTAAAGTGCCTACTGATTATTACTCACTCACTGTTTTGTTTATAACGTATTAGCCAGTGCCTAGAAAACTCATCTTGTTTATAAAGCAGCCTTAACAGATTCAAAACTCTTTTGTTTAATATAAGGAAACATTGACCTCCCACTGTTTTGTTTATAATGCAGCCTTAACAGTGCCTACTGATTATTACTCACCATCTTGTTTACAAGCCAGTCCTATGGTGGCAGGTGCCTGTGCTCTGGCTGTAGCAAATGTAAATCCATAATCTCCTAGTGTTTTGTTGTCATCTAAAGGCTAAAAATGGGAAAATGATATCAATCAATTTATTATATACCTAATGTGTATCACTTAATTTTAAGATTTTTCAACGTAGTATCACCAAACATATCACCACTCTCTAATCTGATGACGTAGTAAAAATATGTTTTATTTTTTTGTTAAAAAGTCCCTTGTTATTATGCTTTGTTTAATGGATTAATATTATGCAATTGATCTCTAAAGGTTTATTTTAATATAATTAGCCAGTTATAAGTAGGGGTGGGACGATACACAGATCTTGCGATACGATACATATCTTGATACAGTAGCACGATACGATGCATATCTCGATATTATGCTAAATTATTTATTTCTTTTTTTTGTCTTGACATTAAATCATCAAATTATTCTATATCAAGTCATGTGTGCTTTTGAAATTAATACTTGAAGTTCATCAATTTCATTAACTAAAACTTTACAAAAACAATAATACATGTACATATTATTATTACCAAATTACTATTAAGAAGTTGTTTATTTACAAATAGCTGCGTAATTCATTAGAGAACTTAGAACTTAGATGCTACATTAGATTCACTTAAAAAGCATCACATTTACATTATTATTAATTGCTGAAGTCTGTAGCAAAGTTGAGATTACAAAAAAAAAGTACGAGATGGACTAACAATTATACCAAACTGGAAACATATTCTGTGTATAGCACACATCACTGAACTTTTTTTTTTAATGGTGATTATAACCAACGACTTATTTTCTAAAGCGTGTTTTCAATAATCAACATCATTGTACAAGCCGCCATTTTAAAGGTACTTTCATTTTCAATTTGGATCTCTTTGTATCGTTTCGCACCGATATTTGCATGCTTGTATCGAAAACCGTATGTTAGAGGAAAATATTATGTCTTGTGTTTTACTGTAAATTTATCTTAATTATGCTTTGTCATTAATTATAAGGTGTTGTACTTCAAGACTTTGAAATTTAATATATATATATCATATCATTCTCACAAGATATCAACTAGTAATCCATATTCTTATCATTAGTAAGATATCAACAAGTATTCCATATTATTGTCACATGAAGATATCAACCACTATACCATATTCTTATCACACTTTTTTAATGGTGATTGTCTTTTCTATAATATGGAATTGTATGATTTTGATTTACAAATCTTTGCTGTAAGCCTGAATTTATTATAAACATGTTCATATTACCTTTGTTTTACTGTATTCTTAATTGTGATTTGTCATTAATTATAAGGAAATTTTTTTAATTATAACACACCCCCCCCCCTCCCGAGAAGTTACAAAAAACTTAAAATCTACACTGCAATTTCTGGCTCACAGTTTGGTGTTGTTCTCAAAGATTTTGAATTGTTCCCTATAGTTTTTCTTAATGATCTTCCTTTATGGGACAGGTCCCTTCAGTTGAATTTTAATGCAATGATTTTATATATGGTTAACTGTGAAAACTGACTTAGAGTTCTAGAGAAAACAAAATATGAAAAGTTTATGACCAAAGAACAGGTTGTTATAGGTCACTTTAGAGACTCAGATGATCTAAAATCCTCACAGTGTTTGATGCTTTGTGGAACTGTTTACCTGGTTTGTTATTAACCCTGCAAGGAGGTACAGTGAGTTGTTAAGGTAAATTTCAAACTTTTTGATTTTGTTACACTTTGTTCTGCAGACTTTCCCAATATACTTCTATTGACAGTAATAAATTTATTTAAATTTCTTAAGTGTTTATAATTTTTTTTTAAAATTTAAATTGCATGAGCTTTTATCATATTTTTCTTTAATTTTACCTGATCATCTTTGAACAACTTTTGATCTTCAGGTCTAATCTTTAGGATACCCTCCACAATTTTTTTGACATCACTAACGGGGGTGGACTCCTTGGCATCTGTAAAGATGGTTGTCTTTTTCCTTCTAATCATTAAGAATACATCCTATATAGAAAAGAAATGAATGCATTAGAATATGCACTATATCAAAAGTTGTAGCTCTTCTATTCAGAGTTTTTCCAGGATGATCTAACTTAGATTGAATAATTTGTGGTGGTTTTTTTTTGGTAATTACTGTTAAATTTAATGAAACGTCAAACATTTGAACATGCTGCTTCTCTCTTTTTATCATCCAACATTGAAACAGAATAAAGTTTTCATGAACTCCAAAGTTAGCGATCTTAAATGTTGTTATCTTTTCACAATCAAAACTGCATTTACTGCAATTCACTAGCCCCAGCGGCCACCCACCAGTCTCCAACCAGCCAATGGGGACTCAGCTTAAAAGTAATACTAGAGGGTTGATATTTGTTAAAAAAGGTAAGGCTACACATAGATATCTAGTATATGCCAGATTGACAACCTCCTTATAAGCTAAACTGTCTAATCAAGCCTAAAAATTGTATCAAAACCGGATCAAAACAATCTTTAGCAGAGTCTCAATTTTTTGAAATTACGATCTTTAACGTAATAGATACAAATGAATTATATTATATGAAATAATATCTAAGAAATTTATACGCTACGTTGCTAAGCTTATAGCAAACTGTTTTGCCAATCCACAATTTGAGAGTTTATCGGCATCTCCAAGCCCATGACATGCTTTGCCTTTGGTTACAAATTCACTAGTCTCATTCATGTGAATCTCTCTAATAAATTATCTAAAATTTATTTATTTGAAAGAAAATAGTGACTCTGCGTTTTAGCACAATCATCTTGTCTTAAATTTTCATCCCTTTCCATTCAATCGTCGTAATTTCACACAAATAAAATGTTTACAACAAATACCCACCATCTTGGATACTTCGGTAAACTGGTACTCTAAATCCCCAGCGTTCCCAGTAAAAAAGGGAACCAATTTAATTTTAGGTGCTGCCACCTAGTGGAAAAATAGTTACTAAAAGAGACTAGCAATGCCATTCCATCCGGATGATGCCATTCATGATTTCTTTAATTTAGAACCTTCATGCCCCTGTAATCGAAGATTCGCGAGTATGCCTAAATAGATTTTGCCATGTCCGTCCGTCTGTCCGTCCGCAAAACCTTTAACCTAGCTCATAACCTATGCTTGGTTGGAGCATAGTATTTAAATACATATAAGGTCCCTGATTGGAGCTATGATACTGCTAGTATTCCATGTTATTGTATAACGACAAGACCATCCTTTAGGTACCAAAATCATTTATTTCATGTGTCACCCCCCCCCCCAAAAAAAAATTTAACATAGGCTATAATTTCTCAGTTCTAAAAGTTACTGCTAGGGCCGGTTCATACTTCGAGTGTATATTTATTGTAGGACTTTTCTATAAATATTTTTTAACCTGACCCCTTTGTCTGACCAACTTTTATTTGAAAAAAAATTAACCTTGGCCATAACTTTTGAACTGTTAGTACGAGGGTCTTTAATTCCACTTTAGGTCTATATATTTGTCTTTATTTACAGATGTACCGTATATACGTATTCCGCAGACAAGACCTTTAATTGTTTAGATACCAATAATGTTGACCTTGGAGTTTGATTTAATATGATACCTTTTTTTTGTTTAAATTCTAACCTTGGTCATAACTTTTGAACATTTGATGTTTCACATGATCAGGTTCGACCAAGTTAGTAAACGTAGAAAATGATTTTGTTTTTCAGTGTATTAATCAAATCAAACTAAAGCAAAAATAAATTTTTCTGTCAGTTTTGTCTTGGATAATTATTCTTTGGTGAAATAAAAAAAGTTTGTAATACTTTGCACTCTATATTTTCGTGGAGAAAAATTAATTAACTGTCTCAAAATAAGAAGTTTTTAAAATGACAGTAAAGGTAAACCGTTCATTATGTGATACTACTTATTTCTAAATTAATGGCATTTTGATTAAAATTGAAATTACGAATAATATTAAGGTCTTTCCGATCCTCAACCAAGAAGAATAAATCTTTAATTTATAATTTAATTCAAAACGTCTCAAAGTGAACGTTGAAAATTAATTCTTTTTATGCAAAAATTTTCATTTTATACCTCTCAATGTGCTTCAAGGTTCTTTCAGGTTTTATAAAAGTCGAATTTTTACCCCATTAAAGTATTTCAAAATTACATATTTAAAGATCAGTTTCAATGTTTATTAACATGATATGAAATTAAAAGTGAAATACGGTGTTTCGCAATGATAAGAAAATCTTTATACTCTAAACATCGCTAAATTATCGAAGTAAATAGAAGAAATTAAAGTATGCCTTTAATAATTCAATATACATAGATATATAAAATTGTACAATTTCTTCAGAAGCCTGGATACCTATGATTTTTATTTCTAAAATGTGTTTGTTAATCAAATGGAGAATGCATAGAAGGTGTTTAAATTTGCATTTCCTGAAAATTTAAGTGAGATAAACTTATTTTCCCAATATAATGTGATTAACTTTAAAGATGAAGTTTAGACTGCTAAAATTTCAAACATCTGCGATGAATAAAGAATTATCGTGGATAAAAACACGTTACTCTGAGAATTGAGAGACATTTTCGTGAACCTGAGGATCGGAGTACCTTAACATCACTAAACCTTTATTAAGGTAACATTGAGATATTCATTTTAAGGGACCATTTGAGACACTTCAATATGTAGTTCTTTACGAAGTTATTTTTAAAGTTATCTTCAACAATTAAAGTAAGGCTTGAGGCGTTTGAAAATCACCTGTGTTATCCTCTGAAATCAGAGGATAAACTAAGAGGGTAAACTATCCCACAATGCAATGCGGTTTCCATATCTGGTTAAAAAAAAAATACTTGGCCGCCTTATTGAATCTAGCTATCCCCCCGAAAAGGAGGGCTCTCGATCAGACCTGTTTAAACCGATTCCGTGTGTATAATTGCTACGCATAAATACACGCTTCTTTTAGAAGTTTAAAACAAAAGCGCTGTGCACAATGTTTTTCATACCCCCGCATTCGAAGATTCGGGAGACGATTACATAGTTTTTGTCCTGTCCGTCTGTTTATCCCCCAAAACTTTAACCTTGTCCATAACGTTTGAGTGGCATTCAAAGTTCACAGATGTATTCCTTGTGACAAAATGACAAGACCTTTCCTTGGGAACCACCAAATTTGACCTCAAGACCTTGGACTTTGACCCACGTTTTCAAAAAAGATACTACTACTATTACAAAAAAATTATCACACATTAACCTTGACCATAACATTTAAATAGTTGGTGCTAGGGATATTGTACTTCACATGTGTATTATTTGCGACAAGACCTTTCAATAGGTATAAATATTTTTGACCTTGACCTTAGAAGTTGACCCACTTTAAAAAGCCTGTAACCTTGGGCATATTTTTTTTTTCACTTAACAGTAGGGCTTTCATGTTCACAGATATATTCTATGTGACAAAACCTTCGAAATTCCTTTGGATACCAACAAGTCTGACTTTGACCTTTTTGAGTTTGACTTGCATCTGAGAAACTTCAACCCTCGCCATTAGTTTCGATACGCGGGCACCTGTGATATACAAAACATTTTGTTTACGTTAAAAGTGCTTTTAAATCATTATATTATCGATTTAGTCTCAAAACTAGGCGCTTCATAACATTAAGAAATACTTTGATTAATAATAGATTTAAATTATATCGTAAATCCTTTCAAATCTTTTTTTTTTTCTCTTTTTCATGTAAAATTTACTTGGCATAATGATAAGGTACACTATCATTTTTTGTCATCTCATTTTTTTATAAATAATGATACGGTATATTAGTATTTTTGTCAATACTTGGCATAATGATACGGTATATTAGTATTTTTGTCATTTCTTGGCATAATGATACGGTATACTAGTATTTTTGCCATCACATTCTATGAATATTTTACTAGGCATATTGATACGGTATACCAGTATTTTTGTCATTACTTGGCACAGTGATACGGTATACTAGTATTTTTGTCATCTCATTTTATGAATATTTTCGTAAAAATCACATTGTTGTGCGATCGATTGTCGGCAACGCAAACAACTGGACCCCCTATTTTTCTCTGGAAAAACAATATTGGTCAACCAACCTAATCAAAATTCTTGAATCCGCGCCTTGAAGTGTATAATATATAAATGTTTCAGGAATGTCATTTGTAATTGTAATTAATTTGATGAAGCTTGTAAGGAATATGGCACCTTTACAGTTAAGGAGATAATCTGATTAACAACATTAAATATTAGTATATAAGCACTATTTTTCATAATATTATTTTTCAATATTAACACGAAATATATCATATTAAATAACCGGCAAGAGTTTGAGCACTACAATATTTCTTTGTTAGCAATGTGGGTCTGCCGTACTTTAGTCTAGCTGTCTTGAGTATGAATGAATTAAACTTAAGATAATATTAAAAAAAAAATGTAATTCATGAAAAAAAAATCAATTTGTATGCAAAATCAGTTAATGAAGAATAAAGTTTGATTGCATTTCGCATTTAACCAGTTTCACGTGTAGCTGTGCACGTGCACGCAACAGGTACTTCTTCGATATCTTCCCGGTACATTTTGAAGCCATTCTGATCGCATTCATTTAGAATTTCTCTCAACACTTTTCTGTAAGTTTTCACTGTCTCGCACGAGAAATCTGGGTTAGGGCGACTTTGGCGACCGGACGAAATATTCATGATGCACTCGTTGCAGCTGCATTTTGCTTTTGCCATTGTAACAGGAATTCTGGTTTTGTCAACAGAAAGTTCTATGTACCACGGACAACTTGACCTGAACATTGCGTGGCGCTCAAATTGGTCAAGGAAGGAGGGGCATGTACTATTGCCGAATAACCTTGAAGATTTGTCCTTGACCCCCGTCTCAAATTTGCTGAATTTTGTCCTCCGCTGATGGATCGGGGGGATAATGTTGAAGGAAATGTCTATTTCTCTTGGGTTATAACCAAGTTTTTGTTTTATTCTCCAGTTTGGCATTTCCTTGCAAGAATTGGTGCGATACATTAAAGCATATGGTAGAAACATTAAAATGGTTGGTATCTGGAAAAAAGACAAAAACATTTAGTTACAAATAAATTCACTTCAATTCTGAATGTATTTTTGTTTTTTAATTTGTTTGCTGTTATTCAGATTACTTTTGAAGGGGGGGGGGGTCTGTTGATTCGTTTACCAACTCTTGTCATTTTAAATCCAAAAATTAATATTCGTGTTAATTCAATTAAAATTAATATTTGGTGTAACTGACAGTAGTCTGACATCAAGACCAAATATTCACATTCAAGCCGTACATGTATACAATGTATAGGATTTTATATTTACTAAATAGGTCGTCATTATCAAGTTGTATACTTATATGTTTATCAAAGTCTTCACATACTATAGTGGAAGTCGTCTGCTTCACTAGCTTCAATTTAACATGTAATTTTAGCGAACTGCAAAGTTTGCGATTTTATTATTTTTTTAATGTTAAATTATAGTTTTATATTTACCGTGACTAATTTTTTTTCACCGATTGACGGAATAAAATATCCTGTGTTATTTGTGATTGAATTATTTTCGAAACTATATTATTTTAAGCTTTAGCGATACCAAAACCATCGCTTATAATGCCAAATGAAAATTTGATGATCGCGAAATATATGTTGACTTTAGTTCGTCGCTGAATTTACATATTATCACATGTCTACTAAACACTGTTTTATGTAATATAACTTACGTATGGTTTCAGCATCATGAATGGAAAGTTATAGGCTAACAGCACTAATCTGAGATCAAGAAAAAAATGACAGGTAAGAATGTTTTATATACAATTAGTTTCCTGTGGATTAACCTGTGTGTCGCAATCGCGGAAGAATAACACGGTCCGTAATTCGCCTCAGGTTTACCTATAACGAAATTTTGTGATAAGTCGGGTTTTTCTTATTGGGTAGAAAAACTTAGGAACCTATATATAATGCATTAAAACGTTATTTTGAAGAAAATTTAAATACCAAACACCGAATGATTATGGAAATTCAAGTTTCATAAACGATAGTAAATTGATATATTTCTCGTGTTTATTCATTAAAGTCATTCAAATTATACTACCTGCTCCGTAAATAAATATTGGTTGTAACTACTTTAGTAAGATTGTTTATATGAATACGTGGTGTAGGAAGATGATGCACTTACCCATCAATTTTTGAAACTTGGGAAATTATTAAGAAAGTCGATGAAAAAAGGATTTAAGTTCTTTCCTTCTTTTATTTTTACGAATCCTGGAAGTCATATTTCTTGTCAGTATCGCTGCACATCCCACGTTTATGTGGAACCTAGCTGCAATCTCTGGATCTGATGTGGACGCAACTAAGAATATCTGTACAAATCTAATTTTCTACCGGGTTGATTTAGGGTAACGATGATAAAGGAGTCGGAGCGAATCTGTCGGTACCAACGATAGGAAATCAGACAAGAGTCAAAAACCATCTCTCTCTGGTTCGTATCAAAAGGGGGTGGGGGCTAGGGGGTTCTGTCCCCTTTTTCCAGGCATAAAAATTACCCCACTTTTTGTCGCAGTAAAGTAAAAACAGGCGCGGATCCAGATTTTTTTTTTTTAGGAGGGGGAGTCCACCCTAGTCAAAATAATTTTTCAACCAAAGATGTCTTGACAAGCCAAAAAAAACAAAAAAAAAACAAAACAAAACAAAAAACAAAAACAACCGTAAACTTATATTTCCAAAGCGGGGATAAGATCCGCATTTTCGAGGGAGTCTGTGTTTTTTAGGGGGCTCAAGGTAACTGTTAGTTTGTTAAATTAGGGATCTGTATATAGGTCCCTGGTTAAATATACATTGAATAACTCGCCAGGGGAGGGGGATCCCTTCTAGATCCGCGCATGTAAAAAAAATTTTTTTGGTCAATTTTTTCAGGTCAGTTGATTTTTTCATCCCCCTTTCAAAAACGATGCTACATCTCTTCTCTCTTTCATATGTTTTTTTTTGTCAGACACGTAATAAGACAGAAAGTAAACATTTACATTCAAATGCGAAACTAAACATGTTCAAGTTACTATGGCCGAATAAATTACAACCTACATATCTAAAAAAAAAATGTCAAAATCATGATGGAGTGAAAAATACTGATTTTTTCTGATTAGGAAAAATAAGACAAATATTTAATTGATATGAGCCATAATATTTGTAAGTATGGTTTAAGGACAGCCCGAGGAAGATTTTTATAAACAAAATACATCGCAATTTAGTGTTGATATACGCAGAGGTGACACATAATCTAAAAATAATTTATCTAATTTTAGAACAATTCAGCATCCAAGTTCTGAACCGGCATCATTGACTGTGAATTAAATGCACGTTAAGGAAGTGGGTAAGTAATTACATAATTTAAAAAAAAATGTTTAACTGGTGATATTTACAATGTTATCTTTAACTGTTTTTGCATAGGCTTCACCGCTTGTAAACACTGGTGAAAACATGATATCAAAGTAGGAAAACCGAGGAGGTGTTAAAAAAATTGATAGGAATTTCTAGAGTCATTCAAATAACGGGAATTTCAAGTGTCACGAAAAAGACCAGAGTGTCTTTCCAAACAAACATAGCTGACATGTTTGTAAATTCTAGACAAGTGAACTTTATGTAGCTATGCTTCCTACTGCTTCCAACTCTTCCTTGTTGTACCTATAATTTTGTTTTTTAGGGAAAACTTGCAGAAATTCATATTACTTTAAGTCGACTATATGGACTGTTTCACAAAAAGCATAGTTTAAAAAATAAAAAAATATTAAATTTTTAATTTTACGAAAACTATTGTTCACCGTGGCAAGCAGAGTTCACATATATCATTTTCACATCTTACCTTAAAAATAATTTTTTTCCCTTCTATTTATACTGAACCTACATGTATTTAGAATCCATTTTAAAGGAGAATATCAGTTATAGAAATGTACTGACAAATTAACATTCTGCCAATCAATGATATTTATACTGTTATCTTTGTCATTCATTTTCAACAATACATGTAGCAATGTAATATTATTCTGAGGCTGGTAAGTAGTACTTTTAATCACATGTTCTTAAACCAATTTTGCTGGAAAAGAATAACAACACTGCTATTTCGCAGGCTAATTTATAGTTTGGTGAAATAATGAAGCAGCAGCAATTGTTTATTAATAAACATTTAACAATAATAAAATTTAATGTTCCGAAACAGCTTGACTAAATAGCCTTCCTCCTTTACGAATTATCAGAACCAATCAATGAGAGGGGTTTCTTATGTCATTTAAAAAAAAAACCATTTGTCATAGTCTCATAGATGAGATTTTGAATGACTTACCAGAAATCCCAGACCCTTGAGAAAACACCCAGGAAGTCAATCATTGAGGGTGATAGATAAGACGATCAGTGTGATTATGTAAATCATCCACTAAAACTAGGTACACTTAGAGGTATTCTGATATAAATGAAACCCTGTTGTTGAAAACAACATAAATAAAACATTAGTTTGTGCTATGTATTTATTAAAAGTATAATGAAGATAGAAGCATTTGATTGAATATTATTTGTGTTAGAAATTTTGTTCTATCAAAGTTTAATTTTACAACATGATGGCAGAGTCTGAGAAATTTAAAACCCAAAATGCATTTATGCTTCTCTTTTATTTTATCATGATGCCAACTCATTCAACTTGAGGAAGATGTTTGTTTGTTTTGTTTTTTTTAAAGTAGAGCATATAATATTGAACAAACATGTACTTTAATGTAACCTTAATTATTCAGCTTTATTTCTAATGAACAAGAAATCCAACCATAAATATTAAATGATATTTAATTTGCCATTCAAGACTCTCTTCTTTCTTTTAGACAATAAAAAGAAATCATGGATAAAGAAAAAATCCTCGGGTTCAAATCCAACATGTCTAAAGAGGACATGAGGAAGAGCTTAATGATGAAGGCTTATGAGGTGAAGTTTGACTTGAGTGGGACGGACTACATTCCTCTGGACAACATCGGAATCGGCGCTTACGGAGTGGTGTGCTCTGCTGTCCACGGTAAAACCAAGGACAGAGTGGCCATCAAAAAGATTCCGTACATCTTTGAGGACAAGAGAATTGCTACCAGGACTTACAGAGAAATCAAGATATTAAAACACTTTAAACATGACAATATAATTTCAATCAGAGATATATTAAAACCTACAGAAACTGTAGACAGATTCCGAGATGTCTATGTTGTGTTTGACTTGATGGAAAGTGACCTACATAAGATCATTTACTCTAAACAAGAGCTAACGGAGGAACATGTGCGGTACTTCCTGTACCAGTTACTGAGGGGATTAAAGTACATCCACTCCGCCAACGTGATCCACCGCGACCTCAAACCCAGTAACTTACTGGTCAACGAGGACTGTCAGCTGAGAATCGGAGACTTTGGTAAGACTTTCAGAGTCTGATCTTGTAGATATACCTTCTGTATGATTTACAACATTAATACTAATCAATATTGAACATTAATTTATAAATGGAAAAATTAGCTTTCAACACAACATTCTTTGTTGTTATGGGAGTGTTCCATTCTGAATATTTAATTAATTACAAATGTTCATGGTGCAGGCTTTATATTTAAAAACTTTAATGATGTCTTGTAGGGATGGCAAGAGGAGTCAACATGTCGCCAGAAGAACAGAACGCCTTCATGACGCAGTATGTCGCCACGAGATGGTACAGAGCCCCCGAGATAATGTTCGCTTTGATTGAGTATGGCACGGCGGTGGACATGTGGTCAGTGGGCTGTATCTTTGCGGAGATGTTGGGAAGGAAACATTTATTTCCAGGTAACATAAACTTAAATCTGGGTATGGGTTTAAACTGCTCACATATAGTAGACTGGCTGAAGAAATTAACATATAAAATAATGCAAATAAAAATTGTTCATATTTTCTTACTTCTGAATAATGAAGTTGTTCCTGTTATAATAATAAAAGTTTGGTAAAAATACTTGTGTTGCAACTTGACTTTTTAAGTGTGTTAATGTATTTTACACTGACAGTGAACTTCTTCATTCAGGTAAAGACTACATCAACCAGCTGAAGCTAATTATCGGTGTACTGGGCTCCCCGGAGCAGGACCTGCTAGATCTCTGTCAGTCCGATCTCATTAAAAAATTCATCAAGCGTAAGTCTCCACAGAATTTAGATATTCATAACATGTAAGTCTCCTCGAAATTTAGAAATTCATAATGTGTAAGTCTCCACAGATTTCAGCTATTTTCAGCAGAAAATTTAAAATATATATATCTTAATTATATCCCTTTCCTTCCTCTTTATAATCACTGCCAATACACATGTCTTTTTAATAAAATAAGTGTATTCAATATTTCAGAACTGGGAAATAAAGAACCTATAGCTTGGTCTACTTTGTTTCCTAAAGCCAGTAAAAAAGCTCTGAGTTTACTGAGTAAAATGCTGATCCTTGACCCTCGTAAAAGAGTCTCGGTCACCGCTGCTCTTACCCACCCCTACCTCAACAAGTACCATGACCCCGACGACGAGCCCATCTGTGTTCCTACATTTAACTTTGACTTCGAAAAGCAGGTGAGCAGAATAACTGCTTTTATTGTTTTGCGTTTAATACACTTTACCTCCAAAAAAATCCTCTTTCCATTAAAAACAAGTTACAGAAGTTTTTTCTTTAAATTTCAGTTTTGCTTGATTTTGAAACTGATATTTTAAATTGTGTTGAAAAATAAAAACTTAGCCAGGAGGATAGCTTTTAAAACTTTGAGGTTGGAGTAGATTAAAATTTAATTCCGAAACCATCTTGCAGAAACTGACATCAGAAGAGCTGAGAGAACGGATTTATAAAGAGATAATGGATTTCCACAAGCCTAGAACCCCTTCACTAAGTTTTAGTGCGTGTCTAAAACCAGTACCCAAGGATGCAGCGGACAAGAAAATAGAGAAACAAGAGGTTTCCACTCCAGGACTGACCAAAGACTTCCAAGGAATTCAGCTTTTTCCTTCGGGGGAAATAAAGGGGGATTTCCTGAAGCCAGATAACAAACCAGTGAGCGTGGCTATCAACACAGAACAGCTACAAGTGTCCGCAGATGATGTGGAAATGTTCAGTGCCAAGTCTCAGACGAAGGCAAAAGAACAGGTGGGTGAGGAAAAAGAAGGAAAAATCCCAGCGGGAACCAAGGAGGAGAACCAAGAAACCAAAACAATCTCCTCTGACACCAAGGCTCTCATCAAAGCAGCACTGCTCAACTCCAACTTCAGGAAAAGAAGTGGTAAGCAGATTATATTGTTTGCCTAACTCGGACAATATCAACAGTAAAAATGTACATAAGATGAAGCTTCATGAATTTGCATGCCAATAATCTGGATACTTCACATTCTGAATAAAATTTGTTTGGCACAGAATTCACATTGCTTCTACCAATTATGAAAGGAATATTTCAGTAATGTAGACAATTTGCTTGAGAATATGGGCATCCTGATAAACAAGGCTCCACTATAGTACTTTAGTGAAACAATTTTACATGTATATGTTTCTGACTGACATCGGAATGTACAGTGTTAATCTGCTTTTAAGATTCTTGCACTGAAGTGGATGATAAACCCAAACCAATCACTGCGGCTCAAAGACAGAAAGAACGGGAGGAAAAGAGGAGGAAAAAGAAAGAAAAGGCACTGGAAAGAATGAAGAAAAAAGAAAAGAAAGGTAATGATCAGATAAGAATTCTCAGCCTCTCCATGCCTAAACTCTTTTTGGCATAGGATCAGATTTTGAAATGCATTATTCTTCTTCAATGAATCTGTGTTGTTTTATTCCTCTAACAGAACAGAAACCTGACCAGTTGCTGACAGACGAGGACAGGGAACTCCTACAGAGGTGGGCTAAAATGCAGCAGGTGAACCCTCCAATAGCCCCCAAACCAGAGACTAACGGACCACCCCAGAATCTAGGAGGAGGCCTACCAATGATGCCACAAACAACACAGCCTCAGGTGATCTCAAATCCCTCCCAACTCAAGTCATTTCAGGCCAACCCCTCAGAAATGCCTGGAGGCTCATCTCAACAGTCCAACAACTCAGGAAAGTCCTTAATAAATGTGGACACTATGCATATGCTTCAACAGAAGTTGCAGGCTAGGAATTCAGTGGCAAAAGACAATGTAAATACCTGTGTACCTCCAGTTCAGGTGACCAGTAACCCCACCACGACTGATGCCAGTCTGTCCACCATCAACATGGAGGGGGTTAAACTGATGGGATTGACCTCTGGATTGACCTCTGGATTTCAGGATGTGGCCTGCACTTTAGGTACTTCTATTCCCTCACAGCCGGTCAGCAATACTGACATTGGTTTAAGTGGACCTGAGGCATCTTCAAGCTTCCAGGAGTACCATCAGCCTGTTTATTCTACACAGGATTCCCCTCAGAGGGACTACAGCAACCATAGCTCACCTGAGAGCTATAATTCACAAGACTCACCTGACCCATACAATCAGGACTCAAACTCAAGCTGTGATGTTCAAAATACCAAAGTTAACAATTTCTCTGAAGCCAGTGCTTTATCTAGTCACCCACATTCCTCTCAGCAAGTTGGAATTCCTCCTCAACTAAACCAGCAGTTTGATGTCTCCGCTACAAACCCTTTTGCCATAATCAGTTCTCAAACTCAGACGTTTACCACACCTTTTCAGAGTGATAACACATTTTCGAATGTGATGCTACCAAACGAACAAGAATATTCATCTCAGCAGCAATATGGAAATATCTCAACAATTCCTTTTGCAAGAAGTGAGCAACCAGCTGGCCATTCCCAGAACGTTCAACCTTTTTTTGATGTAAGATACCAGACTCAGACACAGGCGCGACATCCCTATTCCTACCCCCGAGTCTCCGTGGACACAAGCCAACAACCACAGGATCTGATATCCGTCTTAGCGGAGCAGTTCTCCAGTACTCAGGTGGGGGACAACTTTCCCCCCATGTTGCCTCTGACCCCCCGAGGAACAGGAGCGGGATACGGGGTGGGGATGGATCTTGATTCTCTGATGGAGGACAATGCCAGGTAAAAGAGTAGAGACACCTTATCAAAGATGTCTGTCTACATGTAAATAAAGATTTACTGTAAAACAGTCCCAAGGGATGGATAGTTTGTTTTAAATATATATGGTTAAATCTGTTCAGTGTATTGAAGGAATGAAGCTTATTTCAACTTATGTTATACGACATAATATAACTTGAGGCAGTTTACGCTTTATAAACCGTGAAGCGGTTTATAAAAAAACATAAACTGCCCCAAGTTTTGTTATATCGTATAACATAAGTTGAAATAAGCTTCATTCCTTATAATTTTATTTCAGTGTAGACATTAAGACAAAAGGCTTCAAATATAGCATATTTTAAAAGTAATGTCAAGTGGAGTAATAAGTTTTTGACGTAACTCGTGACGTAGGCAAGTTATGTTATACAAAATATTATATGTTCCTCTGAATGATTCAGCCAATGAAATTGCTTGATTCAAGTGAAATTAAATTATACCAGTATATTTAGTCAGTGGGAATGAAATTAACGTTGCTCAAAGTTTCAATGAATTATAAGTGTATTAGCTATAAGTGTGACAGTGTGTTTTACTGTACTGTTAGATCTGCACGTGTTAATTTATAATTTACCTGTCTGATTTCAGTTTGCCACCCCAGCAATCTCCCCTCTCCTCCTCCCTTCTCACCGACTGGATGGAGGTCACGGGGTCACTCAATATCGACATGGATGCTCTGGAGCAGGAACTGGGTCTTCAGTCTCCAATGTCACTGTCGTACAACGATCTGTCAATGTATCAGTCGTGATGTCACTGTTGTACAACGATCTGTCAATGTATCAGTCATGATGTCACTGTCATACAACAATCTGTCAATGTAGCAGTCGTGATGTCACTGTCATACAACAATCTGTCAATGTAGCAGTCGTGATTTCTGTGTATCAGTCATGATATCAGTGTATCAGTCATGATATCAGTGTATCAGTCATGATATCAGTCATGATATCAGTATGTCAATCATGATATCAGTATGTCAATCATGATATCAGTATGTCAGTCATGATATCAGTGTATCAAACTCATATGACATTCCAGGTTAGGACTCGCTATCATACAATGATCTGTCTGTATGTTCCAGAATGATAATGAGCCCTGATATAGCCCCGATATCATGACCATTTCCTGTTGTTATTGCTCTGTCCTGATTTAACCAGTAAAATTATCAATACTGATATTACCCTGTTATCATCAACGTCAGTGATGTTAGATATCATCAGAAGTTTGATTTATTTTTTTTTTCCTCACACCTTTGCAAACAAAGTTTGTTGTCTGTTAAAAATTTACCCCTTTATTTAGCATAAGGATCATGTGCCAACTTGTTTTTATTCTACAACATTACCTTTTCACTGCATGCATTTTATATTCTTGTATGCAATATGAGGTTTCCTCGAAGTGACTAACAACACAATACAGGAACTAAGATTTAAATTATTATTACAAATAGTTGTAAAATGTAGTGCAGAATTATGCCCCTGTCATTCAGCATATGATTAGCTGAATGTCTCAAGTTCAATTGTATGTCTCTTGATTATTTGACAAATGGCAGTCACCAAGATCTTTTTAGTCTGGTGGTTTTATGCCTATTCTTTGTTTTGACCTGTAAATTATATGCCAAGGAAGCATGCATTAAGAATCTGACAAAAGTTGATACTCTTTGATGTATGTTTCCATTGTTTGAATGGCAGACAAGGAACTTGTTGATTTATTGAATTGATTACTTCCTGATGTACTAGTTTTACTTTACTTTTGGTGTCAGCAATATATTGGACATCTGAAAACTTGTGCTCAAGATTCCATGTCCTTCAGTGGTCATGTTTATTTCAAGAATAAAGAAAGTTAGAATTCAAATGTTTACTGACTTATTCTTTAGCATGACATTCGGGTCAATAATGCTCAGGTCTTAGTGTTGTTGATGGATGAGATGGTAACTAGTACGGCTTTTTGGTACATGTATAGATCTACCAGATGCATTGATTCAAAGAGTTTATAGCGCTATTGCTTTGAAAATTCAGTCTTTGTTCTTGGGTATATTGGTATACTTAGAGACTTGTTCAGCATTTATTTCTCAATACATACAAACTGAAAATCATTAAACTTTGTTAGATGACACACTTGAGACTTTGAACAGACTGTGTCAGCCAAAAAAGTAGGTCACCGTTAACCTTCTTTTAGGAATTTACTTAATTTGGACCGTTGACATGGATTTGCAGGTGGAAGTCCTGCAAGTGGCAATAAAAAGGCGAAGATACGCTTTGGTTGGCACAATATGAAGACCCAAGAATGAAAAAAACTAAGCCTTTTATTATCTGAAATGTTCAAGTATAGCCAAGATATTCAAATTCATTGAAATTCCAAAAGAAAAAGGGGAGGGGTTGCACGTTACACAAATCTCATATTTTTGGTAAAATGTTTACTAGACTTTTACTTTGCATTTTATACTACAGTGCATCACACTACGCTCGATTAAATAATTTTAAAAGATATTGTCCATGTAAAATCTTTTTAGCTCACCTGAGCCAAAGGCTCAAGTGAGCTTTTCTGATCAAAATTTGTCCCTTGTCTGTCGTTGTCGTCGTCTTTGTCGTAAACTTTTCACATTTTCGTCTTCTTCTCTAGAACCACTGGGCCAATTTCAACCAAACTTGCTACAAAGTATCCTTGGGTAAAGGGGATTCAAGTTTCTTCAAATGAAGGGCCACGCCCTTTTCCAAGGGGAGATAATTATGAATTAGAGAAAAATTAATGGCATTTTAAAAAAATCTTCCCCAAGAACCACTGGTCCTGGAAAGATGAAACTCATGTGGAATCATCCTCAGGTAGTGTAGATTCAAGTTTGTTCAAATCATAACCCCCAGGCGTAGGGTGGGGCCAAATGGCCGATCAAAGTTTTACATAGGAATATATAGGAAGAATCTTTAAAAATCTTCTTCTCAAGAACCACTGGGCCAGGAAGGATGAAACTCATGTAGAATCATCCTCAGGTAGTGTAGATTCAAGTTTGTGCAAATCATGAAACCTGGGGGTAGGGTGGGGCCAAAATGGCCGATCAAAGTTTTACATAGCAATATATAGGAAAAATCTTTAAAAATCTTCTCAAGAACCACTGGGCCAGGAAAGATGAAACTCATATAGAATCATCCTCAGGTAGTGTAGATTCAAGTTTATACAAATCATGACCCCTGGGGTTAGGGTGGGGCCAAAATGGCCGATCAAAGTTTTACATAGCAATTATAGGAAAAATCTATAGAAATCTTCTTCTCAAGAACCACTGGTCCTGGAAAGATGAAACTCATATAGAATCATCCTCAGGTAGTGTAAATTCAAGTTTGTTCAAATCATGACCCCTTTGGGTAGGGTGGGGCCAAAGCTTCAAAGTTTTACATAGCAATATATTTTTTCTTCTTCTCAAGAACCACTGGGCCAGGAAAGATGAAACTCATATGGAATCATCCTCAGGTAGTGTAGATTCAAGTTTGTTCATATCATGACCCCTGGGGTTAGGGTGGGGCCAAAATGGCCGATCAAAGTTTTACATAGCAATATATATGAAAAATCTTTAAAAATCTTCTTCTCAAGAACCACTGGGCCAGGAAAGATGAAACTCATGTGGAATCATCCTCAGGCAGTGTAGATTCAAGTTTGTTCAAATCATGACCCCCTGGGTTAGGGTCCCCGGTGGGGCCAAAATGGCCGATCAGTGTTTTACATAGGAATATGAAAAATCTTCTCAAGAACCACTGGGCCAGGAAAGATGAAACTCATGTGGAATCATCCTCAGGTAGTGTAGATTCAATTTTGTTCAAATCATGACCCCCGGGGTTATGGGGCCAAAATGTCAATGTTTTACATAGCAATATATAGGAAAAATCTTCTCAAGAACCATTGAGACAGGAAAGATGAAACTTCTGTGGAATCATCCCTAGGTAGTGTAGATTCAAGTTTGTTGAAATCATGACCCCCGGCGGTAGGGTGGGGCCATAATGGCCGATAAAAGTTTTACATAGGAATATCTAGGGAAAACTTTTAAAATCTTCTCAAGTACTTTAAAGCCATGCTTAGTAATATTTATAGGGAATCATCCTCAGGTAGTGTAGATTGAAGTTTGTTCAAACAATTTTTCAAGCCCCCCCCCCCCCCCCCCTTGGTAAACTTTCAGTTCTGATCTGATGTGTGCTTTTTCTTAGCCAATTGCTCAGGTGAGCGATGTGGCCCCTGGGCCTCTTGTTATTAATTGATGAAACTGTAGTCGAATCTTCTTCAGTCATGCGAATTTCAAGGTTGATAAGCGATTATACCACGGATATTGCATAAGAATACAGTAGATAACCCTTTTCCAAAAAATAATTTGACATGATACAACATACCGTTACCCCCCCCCCCCCCCCCAAAAAAAAAGGCTTCTAATTATTTTAAATAGTATTAAATAATATTTCAAAACATTTTATATTAATGTCACAAAATACAAACAAAGAACTTTATTCCGTAATAACCAATATTTGCCCCCCCAAATCAAACTTTGATGGAGATTCTTAAACAGTTGAGTATATGCTGACTTCAAAGCACTGAATATTTTCATAAGTAATGACACCATATCTACGTAATGACGTCACAAACATGACGTAAATTTCAGTTTTTTATGAGTTTAACAGAAAAATGGACATATTTCGTCGATATTTTGAGTAAAAGTCACCGAGCGCATGTGTGTTCAGGATCAATATTTTGATATAATGTGTAGAATGATAATATCAATGAAATATGTCAACATTGAACAAACTTGCGCTCTATAAATTTTAAAGCTAAAATTGTTGAACTTTTGTCCATTTTGTCCTCTTTCTGAAAAAAGGATATAAAATCGGACTAATTTGTGACAATATAAAAATAAAAATTGTGAATACAATGCTTTGACACTATAATATTTTCTGTTAATTTATATTTCTCATACAATTTATTGAATTTAGCACATTTCAGGAAGTTTTCAAAATTTGACTTTTGTGGGGGCAAATATATGCAATATACCGCATATAGTTCTTTGAAACAAAGTATTTTTGGGTAAAAGCCTAGGGGTTCAAATTTGTTCAAGGGAATGACTAAAAGTCTATGTTTAAAACTAAAGCGGGAAAAAAGAATATAGATGTACATGATATAGTTGTATAAAAATCTTTTTAAAATTCACCGAGATAGAAAGGATGGAATTGTGATAGGCGAAAGCTTCTTAAAATTTTTTTTTGGTTTAAATCATTCATAGTTCCCAGGGTAGACTGGGACGGTCCAACCATTGTAGTAAAACAAAGATTCATATATATATGCAATCCTTTTATCTCAAATTTTCTTTGGTTGTGAAGGATTATTTATAGTTCCCTCCTCCCCCGAAATTGATTCCTAATACATGTACCTAATTTGAGGACCTTCAAGATCTGTTAGAACGTTATTAAATGTGAATTATATCTACAGTTTTGACCTGCGATACAATTTTACATCCCGTATCGGGTGAAACACAATAAAGGGAACAGTAAGGTTGCACTTGGGGGTAAAAAAGTAATGTCTTTATTTTGCCCCAAAAATATTTTTTCTAAAACGTAGAGTATCTAAAGGACCTGGAACATAAACTGTTTTGTGAAATTCACATTCTAACTTTGTTTTTTACAAGCTGATAATATCCTCATTTACACAGGTTACGGACACTACAAGTGTTGTTTTCTTTGAAATAAATATTGAAAACTATTTATAAACTTTAATTTTTTCAACTGCTCAAACACAAACAACATATAAAAATACTAAATATGGACAAAAGTTGGACTAAAAAAGGTGGCATTATACTTTAAAATGAAAACAGTTCTTACTTCGTACATTTTTGTTTAAAATGGCACTATTTCAATTTATGTAAACTCTTTAAAACCAGTATAAAGAAAGAAAGAACTATCTATAAATAACATTTTTTATGCCTTTGTTGACATATAAATGCTTCCATTAAAATAGGAAATTTCATTTACATAAATTTTCTAAAATAATTTGATAGCTTCATTAAGTTACGGACACTACAAGACCCAAATATTTATGATTGGCTTTCGGTTTGTGGTAAAAATAAAACATTTTATAAACTTCTGAACCATTAGAAATCAAATTTAAATGATTATTAAATACAAAGTGCATGAAAATTAGATATTGTTTCAAGTAAAAACAATTTACTTGCAAAACTAATGCCGATAGAAAAAAAAATCCAATTTAAGAAATCCTGAAACTTCCTTTTTTTCACATAACTATATAACTGAAGTGCAGAAGAAAAGTTCTTTAATTCATTAAAGTTTAATGAAAACTACACCTATTTAGAATGTAGGTACACTGATCAACGAAGTCAATTAACCAAACATCAGGGTTACGGACACTACACAATACTTTAATTTTTCACAGGCTTGAGGATGAAGTTTTTGTTTTTCAGCTTCTTTCCTAACCATTTTTCAGCATTTTATTTCTCGTTTCAGATTCTCCCGATTTTTTATTCTTCAGATTTCAACTTCATCTGATAGAAGCATACCATAATCAATACTTTGAATAAAATATATACACGTGTAACTTTATACAGGTGTTATGTGCAAGTAGAAAAGTCAAATCTTGAAAATTAAAGCTCATTAATATTTTTTTTAATTTATTTTTTTTTATTCTGTGAAGCATTCTATTTTTCTTCAAACAGTTAAATATAAAATACCTGATCTGAAATTGGTGTAATTTTAGTTCTTTTCTTTTTTGAATTTTTTTGTAGTGTCCGTAACCAAATTACTTCCCTACTATTTTACATTTTTAATGCAAATTTACTTGCATTTAACACATTTTAAGATATTACCTAATAAGCAACTAGACAATTGAAGCAATATATCACAAGAAATATGGGCTATATAACTCATGATGATAATTTTTAACTATTTTATGTGATTGTGGGTGTCCAGTCATTATTTTAGTACTCGCAGTAAAGAAAAAAAAACACACGATCTAAAAGAATTCCAGCTAATAAACACCTTTTCATCTCTAAATTTAATAATACCCTGCTTCAAAAATTTATCTGTAAATCTTATGCAAAAAAAAGAAAATGAAAGATATTTCATTTATCAACTTTTGGTTACGGACACTACACTCTACAAGTTATTTAAAATAGGATAAAACTTAACCTTAAATAGAGGAATTCCAACAAGATTTTCGTAAATGTAACACCAGTTGACTTAAACAATGAAAAAATAATGACATGCTATTTGACTTAAATCCTAGGATGTCAATAGCATCTGCCAATATCAAGGTGATGTAACACCAAGGATCTTGTATATGGAAATGGTGCAATCTGGGTTTCCCAAATTTGTTGTATTATCAAAATTAGGCAGAAAAATAAAGTACATTGATTAACTTGTTAAACAAAACTCTGACCTTTGTGAATAGACTAGCATTAGTATTTTAACAGAGCCTGTTTCAAACTGCCTTAAGTACAGGTTACGGACACTACAGGATTTTGTAGTGTCCGTAACCACATTTGTGATGATAACAGAGAAAGTGTGGTGATGATCAGGAAAATTACAACACATCTTAGCATCTCTATGAAATGCCTATCTAGGAAAATAATTTAGATATTTATAGAGCCTTCCAATTTCACATAATTTAAGTGGTTACGGACACTACAGTTTTTTGTAAAAACTTAAATTTCCACATAAAAATATGATGAAATTTCATTACAATGGTTACATAACCCTACTTTTTTTCTGTAAGTAACAGAGCATTAATACTGTGATTTTAGACAGAAATCTTAAAGAATAAATGATATGGACATTTTTTTATTTGGCATAATGAGAGGGGTAAAATTATGTGAAAAATGTATAACACTGCACCCCTATTACATTTTCTTTCATATCTTCAGAAGTTGTTATTCAATCCTGAAAATTCAAGCACCAGAATATTTTGTAGAATAAATTCTAAAGTCTGATAATGATCATTGGCATAAAAATGTATGATATTCAACAATTATTTTAATTGAAAAATGCTGTAATTTCAAAGCGCAACCGCATAACGCTGAAAAGAAGTCATTTTGGGGGTACATTTTTTGTATTTACTTTGATTCTGTTAAGGCTAGATCAACAAAAGTTTGCACACAAGTCCTTTATAAGTATGCCTATAAATGAATTATGATAAATTGCATGTAAAGAAAATAACATTTCTTAAAATCATGTATAACAATGTGGTATTCTTAATGCGCCCTATATTGTGTTTCACCTGTATACATATCTTTTACCGATATTTTTATGAAATTATTCATGCGAGCAAAACTCGTCGAGTTTCAAGAATTTTTGATTGAACATATCTGATTCGGTTTTATTCCGTTCGTATGCATATCTATCTTCAATCTGTTTTTCCTCTCTTAGTGTTTCCTGTCTTGTCAATATGATTATCTTCTGAGAAAACCGCAATCAAACAAACTATTGCTGTTTGTGGCAATTTGTACAAAGAGAAGTCAGACTAAATACTTCCCCATACATGTTAGAAAAAAAGAGAAAAGGATTTCTCCCACGATCTAAAAACTATTCATGTGTCTGAAGTTTCAAACATACAAATTATATTATAATAGGTAATCAACATTAACAAAAAGGGAGAAATAGATGCACCCTGTTGTATGCCTTTTTGTGTTTAAATGTACAAGCCTTTGTACCATAAAAAATGATTGCATTATCACACACGCAAACATATAAAAAAAAATTTAAATTGTTTTTATGTACAACAAGCTACACATGTAGTTATGAAAAATCGATCGATTGTTAAAAAGTGGCCTCGTTTGTGAGTTATAGAGTATGAATAAGTAAATGGATGATTAACTGATCGCAGTCCTATAAATCTGACACGGCTGTAGATGGCATTCACGCGCTGTCCCGGAATATTGTCGATGTCCGTTGGTGGTGACATTGTATACGTGCGACACGACTAGGAAGAGAGGGCTGGTCACTCAGGATGAGGCTCGTGGTTCCAGTGGTGCTCTCACTGCTGGGATTCGCATCAGGTGGGATCTTCTTCTTCTAATTATTAATGAAGAAATCATTTTTCTTTGATGAAACAAAATAAATTACTTTCCCTCTGTTATATATATTTTGTATTTAGATTAGGCTTTTAGAATGTTTTGTTGAAATTCACATTGCATCTACCCGTCATTGATAATATCGATAACGTAAAATTCTTCTATTTTCATTTTTTTTTTCGGAGGGAGAGAGAGGGGTGTGCAGACTTGAATTCCTTAATATCATCAATTTTATTTCATACATGCATAAATGTACATGTTTACATTTATCTCAGATTTTATGTTTATATCACTAACCTTTAATTAAAATTTTTAATAAAATAAATAAATAGTGAAGAATTTTCTGTTTCCCCATTTTTTTTTTTTAATTCAGTGATCCTACTTTTTGATAGTAATGGTGTCATATTCTCTCATATATAAATCATCGTTGGTGTGTATGGTTTGATTTGGCAATTTTTATCTGGAATAAGCAATATGATGGTGATTATTTTCGTACAATTCTAGGCATAAAGTTGTAACGCGTGCTCGCTTAGGCGTGAAACAAATGACGACCGATCGGACATTTTATTGCACGGGTTGTCAATATACATCCATGATAAGCATACTATGACTGTACCAATAAGGCTTAATTATAAAGATCCTTTTTGTGTTTGATAATTAGTAAATTTGTTGATAAAGTTATATTTGAAATGGACAAAAAATGTCATAGCAGAGGTACTTCCAGTGGAATCGTATTCTTCCAAACCTTAGTATGCAATGACATCATGAGAGAGAGATATTTTATTTGTTGACATTTCCGTTTACAAAATTATAGCAACTTATTTTGTTTACTATCATTCATGACTATATCAAAAGTATATATTGAAGATACTTAAAGACTGACAATACATTTATTTTTTTTTATTTTCACACATACGATGTTGCTGATTTTAGCAAAGTTTCTCAAAAAAGTTTTCAAAAATTTAATAATTATTGTTTTCGCAAAAAAGCTACAATTGCATATATTTATCTGTAGCATTTGTATAAGACAGCTTAAATGTATTTAAAAAAATCAAATGATCTTTGTTTCCTTTTTATACGAGTTTTATATTTTACTCAAACAAATTGACATCTATTTTAAGAAACAGATGCAGAATCTTATATTTGACAGAAAGGTAAAGGTATAAAACAAATCTTAAAACTCTAGTTTTCATCTGCATGTATCCTTATTTACTTTTCCTCCTATTGTTTGTGTAGGGTTTTTTGTTCCAGTTGTAAACATTTGAGTCTTATTCTACTTGATTAAACCTATAAGACAAAGGGATATTCTGATTAATCGAAGGGGGCGCACTATCGTCATACAATTACCAATTTGATCAATGATTATTTTTAAAAGTTTCATTATTCGTTTTCTTTTTTTTAAGTAATTGTGTGAGTACTTTAATTCTAACTTGCTTCTTAAACGTGTATCCTTAAACTTGTAACTGATAGCGTATTTTATTTTTCAGTTTTTGGCTATGGCAAAGGACCCAGAAAGGGGGGCTTTCTCCCTCGTAGGTATTTTACTTTAAATGGGATCAATAAACAACTGTAAGAGACAGCATTTAATTTCTTATATTAAACAATTTTATCAAATCAAAATTCATTTTTTGAAACAAGCTTTAATAATAACAAGAGGCCCAGGGGCCACATCGCTCATCTGAGCAATTGGCCAGGAAAAAGCACATATCAGAACTGAAAGTTTATTGAGGGGGGGGGGGGGGGGCGGGGGCTTGAATTTTAACCCCCAGGGGGTCATGATTTGAACAACACTACACTACACTACCTCAGGATGATTCCCTATAAATATCACTAAGCATGGCTTTGAAGTACTTGAAAAGAAGATTTTAAAAGGTTTTCCTATATATTCCTATGTAAAACTTTTATCGGCCATTTGGCCCCACCCTACCCCCCGGGGTCATGATTTGAACAAACTTGAATCTACACTACTTGGGGATGGTTCCACAGGAGTTTCATCTTTCCTGTCTCAATGGTTCTTGAGAAGAAGATTTTTCCAAAATATTCATATGTAAAACTTCGATTGGCCATTTTGGCCCCACCCTAGCCACGGGGGTCATGATTTGAACAAACTTGAATCTTCACTACCTGAGGATGATTCCACATGAGTTTCATTTTTCCTGGCCCAGTGGTTCTCGAGAAAAGGATTTTTAAAGATTTTCCTATATCGGCCATTTGGCCCCACCCAAGCCCCCGGGGTCATGATTTGAACAAACTTGAATCTTCACTACCTGAGGATGATTCCACATGAGTTTCATCTTTCCTGGCCCAGTGGTTCTTGAGAAAAAGATTTTTAAAGATTTTCCTATATATTCCTATATAAAACTTTGATCGGCCATTTTGTCCCCACCCTACCCCCGGGGGTCATGATTTGAACAAACTTGTATCTACACTACCTGAGGATGATGCCACATGCGTTTCATCTTTCCTGGCCCAGTGGTTCTGGAGAAAAAGATTTTAAAAGATTTTTCCTATATATTCCTATGTAAAACTTTGATCGGTCATTTTGGCCCCCCCCTACCCCCCCTCCCCCCCGGGGGCCAATCTTTCCTGGCCCAGTGGTTCTTGAGAAGAAGATTTTTAAAGATTTTTCCTATTTATTCCAATGTCAAACCTTGATCGGCCATTTTGGCCCCACCCGACTCCCGGGGGTAATGATTTGAACAAACTTGAATCTACACTACCTGAGGATGATGCCACATGAGTTTCATCTTTCCTGGCCCAGTGGTTCTTGAGAAGAAGATTTTTAAAGATTTTTTCTCATATCCCTATGTAAAACTTTGATCGGCTATTTTGGCCCTATCCTAACCCCGGGGTTCATGATTTGAACAAACTTGAATCTACACTACCTGAGGATGATGCCACATGAGTTTCATCTTTCCTGGCCCAGTGGTTCTTGAGAAGAAGATTTTTTAAAAATGCCATTAATTTTTCTCTAATTCATAATTATCTCCCCTTGGAAAAGGGTGTGGCCCTTCATTTGAACAAATTTGAATCTCCTTTACCCAAGGATACTTTGTAGCAAGTTTAATTTAAATTGTCCTAGTGGTTCTTGAGAAGAAGATGAAAATGTGAAAAGTTTACAACAACGACAACGACGACAACGACAACGGACAAATTTTGATCAGAAAAGCTCACTTGAGCCTTTGGCTCAGCTGAGCTAAAAATCAAGTATTAATCACACAAAGTAACAGAATTTGAATTCCGTATTTTGATTGCACAATTTTGTACCTTTATTATCTACAGGTGCCTACTCCCCTGTGGGGTTTCTAAAGCCCCCTTTCGGACCTTTACCTAGACCATTCATCACCAAACTGAAGCCTATTCACGTTAAGACGACCGTCACCTTCCCCAATGGCTTCACGAGAGTGATTTTTCCCAAGAGAGGGTCGAACTTCATCCCTTACGGCGGGGCACCTGTACCTGAACCTTACGGCGGTCCACCTGTACCGGAACCAATCCCGGTGTTTCCGATAGCCACGAGCGTGGTGCGTCCCGGCATTGTCAATACGGGGTTTCCTGTACAAAAAGTCATTAAACCGAACCTCCCAAAACCGGCACCTGTAAAACCAATAATCGAGAAAACAGAGACTGCCAAACCAATCGAAGAAGTCGGAAAACCAGGTACTAGTCCATAATGCATATATAAGTAGTTTAGTATTTTGATAATCTTGGATGATGAAATTCTTTCTTTGCTATGATAATAAAGTTGTTATAGGCATCATATCATCGCTATCAATCACCACCGTCATCAGCCAAAACATTCATTTATTTCTCCGACAAATGACCCTCGTTATCACAGCATCATTTATATAATCCTCTGCCAAATTATCCTCGTCATCACAGCATCATTCATTGAATCCTCTACCAAATTATCTTTTTCATCACAGCATCATTCATTGAATCCTCTAAAATTATCCTCGTTATCACAACATCATTCATTGAATCCTCTACCAAATTATCCTCGTCATCACAGCATCATTCATTGAATCCTCTAACAAAGTATTCTCGTTATCACAGCATCATTCATTGAATCCTCTAACAAATTATTCTCGTCATCACAGTATCATTCATTTATTCCTCTGCCCCCTTCACCTGCACCAACATACATTAAGGTCTTTATTAAAAACCCAATTCGTTTAATTTTGTTATAGTATTTGGTGGGACGTTTGTTGTAAACATTGATAGAACGAAAGATTTCCGACCCTCTCCACTGCGAAGTGTACATTTTGAAAATTTTGAGGTTGCTGTGAACCCTGGCCCTCTACCCCCCATTCGAGGCCCACCACCCCTAGAATTACCACCCCCGCAGCAAGTCTGGCGCATAGGAAACTCCGTAGACCTTAGACCTAGGGAATTTTTCAGACAGGACTTCAATTTCGACCACAGGAATATTGAAAGAAGATTTAATTTAGGTAGATAATTAAAAAAAACAATAAATACACCTTCTCATTTGGAAATGTCCTGTAAATTTGAATTTAATTTTTTCTCTTTAATTTACAGTGCCCAGAGCAAACATCAACATCCAACAACCCGTCAGAGAATTCCGGCCCATACAACCGGTCTCTCCCCCCATACAAGGTACAAGTTTGCAACTGAACAAAAATCTGGCAAACACATGAATCCATAAATCTCAACTTGAAAATGAATAAATCAGAAATACATTTTAGATTAAAGTTTTCTAAGGAATGCCGATTGTCATTATAGTTTAGTCTTCAAAGTACCGGGGTAATACAAATACATGTACTGTGGACTAGTCAGATTCTTTTATCATGTTTATGCTACAGTTCCCAAACAGATATTCATACTAATTGTATAAATTCAAAGATTTTTCAAATATGATTACTATTGATTAATTCTTATTGTTTCTCTCTCTTTTTTTTTATTTATTTATTTATTATTTTTTTTTGCACACATAACACAAGTCACGTATAAGTGGAGAAATTCACCGTTTTGATAACGAAATGTTGCAAGAAACAAAATGTATTTCCATTGTAAACAAAGTCTTAAAGTTGGAAACATAACAATGCAAAACAATGTTATTAGAGCGATTTAATGGGAAATAAACTAGCAAAGTGATCATATTTTGTGATTTGATGGAAAATAAATTAGCAACAAAATGGTCGTCTATTGTACAAACACGTCAATTGTCTCCAGTAGGACAAACGTTAACAGGACAGCTGTCTCAAAGTAGTAAGCGAAAACAACCATATATGCAAACCAAAGAGATGGTGGTCGTTCATAAAACATTCTATGACATTTTGAAATTATAATAGAAATCATGTAGTACGATTGTAATAAATCGAACAATAAAAGTATCAAACTGTTAAACTGTGACGTTGGATGAAAAAAAAATGATCAAAAATTTTACCGACTTTAGTTGAGGCATTCACTCATATATATTGTTCCATACCAACAAAAGATAAAGTTTACAAAATCTCATTTTCTCTAAACAACACCTGAAAGTTCAAGGTAGGGGCAGAATTTTGAAATTTGCTAATTCAAATTCCATCAAATCACAATATATGATCACTTTGTGTTAGAGAACTATCTTCAATTCATAGGTGTTGTGCACTTAATATAACATGAAGAATTTTGTCCTTTTAGTACAGATTATTTGAATCATTGCTGAATGATTATAACTGTTTTATTTTGTTTTTTGCCCTGTTTAGAGAACTTACCCAGACCACCGCCACCTCTAGATCCGCCGGTAAGAGTGAATATTGTGGACAACATTGTCCCTCCACCTCCCGGTAAGAGAATCAGGGTCATGCATTTTATTTATTATTAATTTTATTTTATTGATAACAGCTTAAAAATACATTGGTTTAAATTAAAAAAAAACATCCCTTTGCTTCGTACAAATCAAATGGAAAACATGGTAAAACATTTAAAGGTAAAGTATTATATTTTACCATTACAAGTCATTTGTTTATTAAATTTTAAAAGTTGAGAAAATTCCATCCCTTCCGGTGATGCCGATCCAGACTTCCCATCCTGTTGACCCTCCATTACTTCCGCTGGAACCAGTTCTTCCGCCAGCTCCCCAGCCCGACATTCCTCTAGTTCCAATAGCCGACATGAAACAGGGACCTGTAGATCAGCAGGGTAAGTCTTGAATTAACAAACTTATCCATGAATATTGTACCTAAGAAAACGATGTAATCCTGGTATGGCCATCGGGGCTTGGATCGATAGAAAGAAGACGCGATAATGCGATGGCGATCAAGCGATTGTGCAACAATGCGATGATGATTGGCCAGTGACACGATGAAGCGATAATACATTGTCGATGATGTGATGGCACAATAAAGCTATGACTATGGAGCGATATACATGTACGATGGCGATTGAGTGATGTTTTTCCATACTCCTTAAAAGTCCTTTGCGCTATCGCACCCAAAACATGCTCGCACTATGCATCATCATTGCGCTATCGAACCATGGCTTCATCGTTATCGCACCATCGTTTAGTTTAAGTTTTAGAAGTATTTTATTCATAATATACAAAGAAGTGTACAATATGGATATGGCCAAGGGCCTATATTAGTTCTCTCCATCGTCATTACACCATCACGTCTTCGTCTTTGTACCATCATATAAGCGCGTCATCGACCACCCATCGATGCTGGATGATGCGATTGGGATATGCGTTGTCCCATTCGGATCCCATAAAATAAGCGCAAAATAGAATGGGGGATTAAATTATGATTTATATTTTTTAATTCTACAAGATTGTCATGGGGGATTTTTTTTTCTCCAAAAAATGAAAATGATATTTTTTCGTTCGTTTTGAAATATGAATGCATGAGTTAACCTATAAAAAGTTATGACCAGTATTGATTTTTTTTAAAGAGGATAAAACCCCAAGATAAAAGTCAAGGTAAACTTAATGGTATCCAGAAGGCATTGTTGTAAGAAATATACAAGTAAGATGTAAAAACACTAGCACCAACTGATCAAAAGTTATGGCCGAGACTTTCAAAAGTAGGTCAAACTACAAGGTCAATGTCAAGAGATAAAATTAATAAAATCCAATAGAAAGGTCTACTCACAAAAATATGAAAACCCTAGTTAGTACTGCTCAAAAATGAATGCCACGAATTTTCAAAATTTGGTCAAACGTTAAGGTCAAGGTCAAAAGGAAAAAAATATTTAAACCCATTCAAATGTCATAATGTGTAATTACACATATGAGTTTTGAAAGCCCTTGTATAAAATCTTCAAAAGTTATAAACAAGGTGAAAGGTTGGTAATGTTTTGCAAAATTGGGTCAAACTCCAAGGTCAATGGGTCAAATTTGTTGGTACCCAAAGATAAGTCTCTTCCCTTGAAATATACCTTTAAAATTTGAAAACCATAGCCCCACGCACTCAAAAGTTATGGACAAGGTCAAATCATTTGCGGATAAACAGACAAAAGGCTCGACAGACAGACAAAATCTATGTACATGTGCCCCGTATCTAGGATTAAGGATTATAAAAAAAAAATAGACAGCATTTTTTAACAAGGATTAATACCGGTATGGGCAAAAAGTGAAAATAAAAACTTTCTGAAATCAAATTACTTCAGTGCTTACCTGAAACTTTTTTATCATTTCATGCAGGACCGACCCGAGGAGACGTCCCTAATATAGGACTAGTTTCTCCCGTTCCGGGGGACCAGGCAAACGTCATCATGGATTTTAAAGAAGCCAATACGGGAAAAGGCAACATTGACGTCATAAGCAAGGAATTCTCCGATGCCGGGGGTGTTAGAGCTACAAAAATAGACATCAATCAAGCTAGCGGGGCAAAACTAATCGGTGATCCTGGACCTGCGATAAACGTAGGCCCTGGCCCCGCTCCGCTGGTGGATTTGAGTGTCGGTTCTGACTTTGTTGACAACAAGCGCATGATAGCAGCCGACAATGGCTTATTTTCGAATGATCTCTCTATGGCTGGTTCAACCTTTTCGGAACACGGTCAGTTTGTTGGAGTGGGCAATAACTTTGTTGGAGCAGGCAATAACTTTGATCACGTAGATAGTATCAACATAAATATTGACCCCAGCCTCGGTCTGGATTTCGGCCCTCCTAACGATCCAGTGGTTGGTCCCGCCCATTTCAATTCCCATAATGCATTTGAGCAGTCTTTTGATAAGAAAGGTCTTGATAACAGTCTCAACTTCGAAAATAAAATGTCAAATTTTGAAGCAACATCAAACTTTGTTGAACCTGGACCAATCCGACTAGCAGAAGCCTCTTTTGACAATGCAGCCATGTCTTCTAAAACTTCTAAAACTTCTAAAACCAGTGGATTTGACGACCACAGTCATATTATCAAACGAACAACTACAATCAAACGAACCTCATGGACTTCCTGATCAGTGCCGCCTGGTGGCTAGCACAAGAATGAGGCAGAGGGTAAAGGGAGGTAATACTGTACATATTCTTTAAACTGAGAATTCTATTTTTGTTCACAGAATATTAAGATGTTATAGACTTTGTTTTCTGTAATCATTTATTTAATCATCGTAAATCACTCCTTTGATGAATTTTTATAATGCATTCTAAAGAAAACTATATTTCTGCACATTGTTCATTTCATAAGAAATTGTTTCAGTAGTGTTTATTAGAAGGAATGTTCATTCTCACTAACTTGAATATTCTTGAGGCACTAAATTTTACAATTTTATGCAGGTATGAAAATATGACAAAGATTCAGTTTCTTGTTAACTAGCATTTAATTTTCAGTGAATTTTCTGGAAGATTAAAGAAAATATTTGATTCTCTTCTTTGAATTTTCTGTATCTATATCAAATAAATACGTTTATATAAAATCAATCTTAAGTCAAGCATTGATATAAAGTGTTTGAATTAAGCTAGAGTGAAACTGGAATTTCTACAAAAATGCATTTCTTGGTTGGACACTGAATGAAAGCCACACGAAGGACAAGATACGTCCTAGTGTACTGGCTCACAAAGGCATAGAAACATGCTAGTGTAATGTCTCCAAAATGAAATAGATACGCCCTAGTGATATTGTCTCAAAAAGGAACAGACAGGTCCTGGTGTATTGTCTCACAAAGGAATACTAAGTATTGTCTCACAAAGGAATACTCGTGTATCGTCTCACAAAGGAAGAGACACGTCCTAGTGTATTGACTTACAAAAGAACAAAGGCACGTCCTGGTGTCTCACAAAAGAATAAACGCGTTCTAGTGTATTGTCAAAGGAAAAGACCACCTTAATGTATTGTCTCGCAAGGGAATAAACACGTCCTAGTGTGTTGTCTACCAAAGGTGAAGACACGCCCTAATATATTGTCGTACAGAGGAAAAGACACGTCCTATTGTATTGTCTCACTTAGGATAGACATGTCTTAGTGTATTGTCTTAGAAAGGCAAAATAACATGTCTTAGTGTATTGTCTTAGAAAGGGAAAATAACATGTCCTAGTGTATTGTCTCACAAAGGAATAGACACGTCTTAGTGTATTGTCACACAAAGGTATAGATATGTCCTTGTGTATTGACTCACTAAGAAACAATCACGTCTGTTAATTAGAGGAAAGGCCAAGTTCTAGTTTTTTGTAATCAGTACTATGTTTTGTTTTTCATTTACTGGAATTTTTTTTACTTCCATTGGACAAAAATAACAAGACTGGACAATCTCAAAAATACCTTAACAGTAGGCAACATGAAGATAGCAAAAGGGATATCTGAAAAAGATGAGATTCTTGGAGGAGTATTATACACTTATGAACTTGTGCATCGTTAGGTCAATATGTTGTTATCTGGACCTACGTCACGTGACGTTAACTAATTACTCAGAAAGTGATAGCGACCGAGTTCTCAAGGTTGCCATCATTTTTTGATTCTTAGATCAGTATTAATTGATTTTGGTCCTGATTACCACATATTTGCATTCCACATATATTTCTTCCTTTAAGAAAATAAGCGGAAATCTACTGCATTCAAAGCAAAATAACAATAGCGGGTGCAGAAGGTTTTAGATGTGTAAGAATGCGTTACAACCGGTGAAATCGTGCAAAATCATCAGTGAAAATCATAAAAACGATGCCATGGAGGATTGAGGATCCCCTGTCGATAGGTCACACCCGCCGTGTGTTCCTTACTATGTTCAGGAAATAACGAAAAAAATCAGTAGGTAAATAATAGCCTTACAATAAATATGGAATACGTCAATCTGCATTTGACTTCAAGTAGATTATAATTGCTGATAAGGTCATTGTATCGATCATAAAATTAAGAAATGAAACGAGACTGCTGGTAATCTTGTTTCTTCAACTTTTTTGTCAGTTACTTACCTCATCGTAGAACATGTTCATTTGTATGTAACGTTTTTATGTATAAATTATATTATGGTATATCTTGCCTGTTCTCTGCACTGAATAGAGGAGTTTCGTTTGCTTTTGAAACTTAAAGTTATTCTTTCTTCACATTTAAATAATTCTCTGGTAACAATCTTTAAAAATTGAGTAGTAAAACAATGGAGTTTAAAGAAGATGTTATTGCTTTTGTTGATGAAAATAAATATTCGAATATTGTTCTAAAATGGTTTTGAAAATAATTTGAAAAAGCATTTTAAGAATAGGCCCTACAGTTTTTAGGGATATAATAAATATAAGAAAAAAGGGTAATGGCAAATTATCATTCTACAGCTAGTTAATAAGTAAGGGAATCTAAACAAGCTTGAAATTCAACCATACTTAATTTTATCCATTTCCGATAATCTCCATTCTTTTCTTTGACTCAATTTAGTGACCACAAATTACAGATAGAGACTGGCAGATATTGAAACCCAATCATACTAAGAGTTGAAAGATATTGTATTAATTGTCAAACTGTTGTTGAAGATGAACATCATATTTTAACTGTATGTCCTCTTTATAAACAACTATAAGAAGTGAATTTTGTAAACTTTTTAATAATACATGTATATAACACATGTACTTGATGCATTTAATATAAGAAAATCTGTGTGAGTATTGTACATTCCCTATTTTTGGCGAGTACTTATTATCGCGAAATGGCCCTTCAACGTCAATTAGCGGGAATATTAATTTGCGAATGGACGGTTGATAAAGACACTTTACTTAGATTTCAGCACTATAAAAATAAATACGAGTAATTTTAAATCGTGTGTGGTGCTTCTCGCGAAATGACACGATAATTATTTCTACGCGTATATTTTGGAATCTGCAGTATGTACATGTATTAATTTACTGTATGTTTGACTTGCGCCACATGTGGTTTTTGTCAAAGCAAATAATGAATAAAAAGTATAATTCAAGCAAACAATGTGTTTTAATAACAACAACAATGTAAAACTCTGGGGGGATTAAATAAAAAACTTTAAATTATTCTTTAATAAATGATAGAACTTTTGTACTTAGCAAATTAGTTAATTAGTTATAAATAAACAGAAGGAAGAATTTGTAAACACAATTTAATATCCCTCGTGTGTAAAATTTGAATTATCGGGGGAGGGTGTCCTGCAAACAGGCATCTGTGCTTATTGTTTCATCGCTGTTCTTATTATATCATTGGATACTCCGATGATCGGGATTCTTGAAGTATCAAAGTCAGAGATGGGATCAGGTGCATTGTAGGAGTAAACATCTCCTGTCGAACGTAACACTAGCTATATTGCTCTTTGTCACTAACGAGAAAAGGGGGAGGGTTCCTGTAGTTTATTCATTTGAGAAATAAGGCCAAGCAATTGATATCAAAAATGTCAGTCCAGCATTCGAAATTAAAGACTATTTGCTGACAATGTCATCGACCATAGATTTTGCGAAATGATGACTTCAAACGAGACTATGTTGAGTGACAAATAATTTAAAACAACATTTTATTGATGAGTGACAAATAAATTGATACATGGAAATAAAAATCTGGTTTATTGTCAATATTTTGCAAAATCTATGGTCATTACAATTACTTTCTAAATATAAGCTTTCGTTATGTCGTTAACTGCTGTTTTCATACCAATTGTTACGTCAGTTATTTCACACGGCCTACGGTTTTTTTCTTTACTAATCCACGAGTCGCCCGCATTGCGCAGTAGTAAGAACGACCACTCAAGAGGAGGGGCCCGTTTACAAAAGAACTTACGACTAAGACCAAAATCTTGAATATTATTGCAAAATTAATTATTCTGTTTTAAATTGCCAGTGTAAGTTTTTAAAGTATCTCACTACGTTCCTTTCAAAAAGAATAGAACCATTTCAATGTGATGTAAATTAGAACTCATAAACAGAATTAACTTTTGATCTAAGTTGTAAGTTTTTTGTAAAACGGGCTCCTGTTCCTTACGTCGCGGGTTCGAATCCCACTGTGGTACTTGTAACCGACTCATCGGATGAAACCGTATAAACCGAGGTCCCATGTCGTAGATGCTGACACGAAACAGATCCCTCACTGCAAGAATGGAATATTTGTAATTTTTATGTGTTTTGTTATTATAGCTGCTTGTTTAAACAAGTTCTACATAATTTACTTGCTATTAATTGATTATTCTTCTCATCATATGTAGGCATAAAGAATAAGCAAATAAATCAGAAAGAACGTTTTAAAATTCACATCAGTCTTATAAATAGCAAATGATTTTTAAATAATAAAAGCACAAAACAACAATTGAAAAATGAATAAAAGTTTTATTTTCAACAATGCTTTTGCAATTCCAATTTAGAATTTTTGCTAAAATCAAGAAAAAGTCATGATTATTTAAAGTTGATTATATAGCATCCTTCTATATTAAATATTATACTACATGCGCAAGTCTGGGGGTCTCTGAAGAGTAAAAACAAACAGTGTATGTTTGCTTGAATATCCGTGGAAGAAATTATGTACATGTAAAAATGAACGTGGTTCAAAATAACATACACCACATTTTTGACAATGTCATTTTGAAAAAAAAAATGGTTCGATAAGATCAAAGATCGATGGTTTACTGAAGGAGTTGTGTTTTAACGGTTCATTAGTTGACTCTAATGATTTGCTGGAAGACATCGTGTTTTAATGATTCACTCGGTGACTTCGTGTTGTAATGATTTGCTGGAAGACATCGTGTTGTAATGATTTGCTGGAAGACATTGTGTTGTAATGATTTGCTGGAAGACATCGTGTTGTAATGATTTGCTGGAAGACATCGTGTTTAAGATTCATTAGAAGACATCGTGTTTTGAGTTTCATTAGCGGGCGTCGTGTTCTAATGATTTGCTGGAAGACATCGTATTCTAGTGTTTCATGATTGTCTGACTTTTACATCCCAATGATAATCAGCATAACCAATGGTAAAGCGAAGAGCAAGGTGGCGGATCCAACTTTGGAGGCACCGCTTTGTCCGTTTGCTAAAAATTAATTACAGAATAATTTATTAGTTGTTATGTTACTTTTACAAAACGGTTAGTTTTCCAATTTTCATTAAAATATGTTAGAGATTGACACTTTTTGCATAAACTAATCTAAAATGATTACTTACCATCAAGAAGCTGGCCCGCTATAAAAAAAATAAAACGATTTAAATAATCTTTAATCTTCTGATTCAAGCTTACTGAACTGCTATCAAAGTCCTGATATCATTGTTATTATCATCACTTTCATCATTATTACTGTCGGTGTAATAGTCATCGTAACAATCATTGTAAGAATCATCGTTTTCATCCTTCCTGTATATTGAATATTGCCATTATCATTGTTATCTTTATTATCAGAAATTGAGAAATGAGTAATTTGTCTTTAATTATACTTAGAGGTACACTTAAGTTTATCATTACTAGATTTTACCTTCACAAAATCCACATGTTGCAGCACAACTATTTTCCATATAATTTCGTAAAAAGCGGTTATCACAGAGCCCGTTGTCTCTCAACCAGGAACAACTGTTTCCCATGTCTTCACAAACTCTGGCGGCTATAAATAAAACCAGGACTTAAAGAGTTTTCTTGATGTTATTCATTTCAAAAGAGCTCCGTGGATCAATACGCTCACTTGGACCACTTTAGAAATGCTGTTCTGCAACAGATTTTCCCTATCTATGTCTACTTAAAACTTCGATCGCCTATTGTGGCTCAACACTTCCTCCAGGGAGAATTACTTTATCAAAATTAAATCTACACAATGATGTTTCAATAGCACTGCTGTTCTTGATTTTGATCACATTTAATCCTGTTGACTGATAGAAGTTGAACTTACCATTGCATTTGTTGCATGATTGTTTGCAATTCATCATCATGTAGCGACTTCGAGAACAAAATCCAAACTGAGCCCAAAATCCACAAAATCGGTTCATGTCCCCACACTCTATTTTTGAAAAATACGAATTTTAAAATAACCTTTTAAAAAACAGAACAATTTGTATAAAAGGTAAGATCTTTGATGAATAAATACTATCTACATGTTAAACACAGAAATATGTGAAATATGACTTAAAAATAAAACTTTTATGTAGGTTCATTATGAATTTTGAAATATGCGTTCAGTTTTAATTATGGTCATATACAGTGTAAATTGTCTTATCTGGATCTTGCGTATTCCGAACTTCTGTCTAACACGATGTAAACTACGAATATTTTTGAGCAATTTTAAATGGTTAAAATGTTCTCCTGATTGTTGTCTAGTCCGGCCAATTTTGTTGGAACCAGTGATGACTGTATTTAGTTTTAATTTACAGTATATACTTGTATATATTGCTGGGGGGTATTAACACAAAATGAATGCTTACCGGTGACAGATGGCGTTGTTGGGGTTGTAGTGGGAGGGGTGGTGGACATAGAAGGCGCGCTTGTGGTCGTTGCTACCGGAGTACCCTGACAATTCTGGACCGGGTTGTTTGGATCCCCAGTCGGACACTTACACCGACAATCTTTTCCAACAAATCCCTCTCCTGGACAGTTTTGAGCAGGGCAACTACCTGGAAGATGTATTTAAACGATACATATATATATATTTGAAGCTATGCACTTCATTTAATTTTTATTATGTATATTGATTTGTTTTTACTCTGTTTCTTATTATTATTTTTCTTCTTCCGTAGGCGCTATGATCTTGTAAACTGTACATCTGATGTAGATAAAACCTTTTTAGGGTAAGTAGACATGTTATGTAGATTTCCGGAATCAAGGTCATTTTGCGCGCACGTGAATGCAAGCGTGCACGTGCAACACGTGAAATGACAATATAAGGATATAGTCGTAACTTTTCTGTTTTTTTGATGAAATGTGTTGAAACTCAGAATATAAGTATGAATTAGTATTATAGACAAGAGGACATGGTCAAATTATCATGAACTCACGCGCATGCACGTGCGCTTCGCTCTGATTGGCTGAAACTATAGTCTCAATATTTTTCTTGTTTTTTGACTAAATACTTTGAAATTTTAAATGTATAGTCATATATTAAAAGGTTCTACAACATGATATATAAGAATTATTATGAAAAACGTGCAACATTGTGCTGCAATCTGATTGGCTTAAACTTTAAATAGCTATAACTCCCTTAGATTTCAACCAAACAGGATGGAATTTGGAAATAAAGATATAATGGACTTCTACAAGTAGGTATGGTCACCATGCACATGCAAACACGTGCGAGAAGGTGTGCTGCAATCTGATTGGTTAAAAATTTAAACAGCTATAACTCTCTTGGTTTTCAACCAAACAGGATGGGATTTGGAACATAGATCAGGCACGTAGCATCGTTTTTGAAAGTGGGGGGGCCAACCTGAGAAATACCTGACAAAGTTGACACAAAAAAAACAAAGGAAATTAAAAAGTTGCCCAAATGAAAATCCTATTTAATTCAAAGCCAACTTACTATCACTTCCAATTTTTTCCTATCAATGAACATTTACTATAGTAAAGGTTATGTTGGGGAAAAAAGTGGGGGGGGGGCAGGCCCCCCCTGGCCCCCCCCCCCGGATGCTACGTCCCTGTAGATAGAAATAATGGACTTTTTTGGTCACCATGCTCATGTATGCACAGTAAAATCAAAAATACACTTAAATGAGCGCATTTTTAACACTTTTGGATTAAATACTTCAATATTTTTAGTATATTAAAATATATGAATTGTTTAGACAAGAAAATATGGTCATTACACACATGTATTCACATGCGCACGCATGCAATGCTAAAATTTGAATGAACTTGGTACACTTCTGAGTAAACATTGTTAAAGTCTCAAATGCATAGAGTTTGTCTTATTTAATGAAGCTTACAGGGAATATGGCACCAAAAGGGAGTTGGGGAGCGTCTGGCTCCGTAATGTGATACAATTAGCACTAGTTATGTATATTGATTTGGAAAGCGTAGGCGCTATATCTAATTCATGATCCATTTCTTTCCGGTGTGGAAGAAATTCTTACCAGCACAGTTATACATTAGGTTAGCGAGTTTAATGTCTCTGAAACTTAGTCCGGGTGCATTCCCGATTCTGTTCTGAAAGGACTGGTCGATGGTTCTCACTGTGATACCATTGTTGACAGAAAAGGCCTGAAAAATGAACATTTTAGAAAACTCAACAGACGAATTTAATAAGGAGGGAAAAAGCATTGTTTCAGAACAAGCTCAACCCCCCCCCCCCCCCTGGAACCCTCTAAATGGTCTGTGTCGAGAAATTACATCACACAAACAATGTATTTAATTAAATTCCATAAAGGCTGAAAATAAATCTCAGACGAAATTCATTCAAATACCCCTCTATATTTTTTTTAACCATTTCAACAATCTCCTGCCCCTGTTTTAAGATGTTGATCTTGATAGATTATGTGATTAATAGAGAACAAACGGACAAACAGAACCATACGTACTCTGGCTCCGTAATGTGATAAATAGACAACAAATGGACAAACAGAACGGTACGTACTCTGGCTCCGTAATGCATGACGCTGAGGTAGTCATACGGCACATCAAATGTGTTGACCTGAGAAGTGGGCAGTTCCTCAAAGTTAAATTGGAGACCGGGCGCGATGTTGTCCTCAATAATTTGCACAAATCCCCCCCTGTCTGGTCGGCTCTGCTCGTGCCAGTAGCCAACTGCATGTCCGATCTCATGCGTAATAATTCGTCTCTGAAACGCAAACAACAAGACGTTTATTTGTAATGTCTTGGTTTTTCATATTTTAGGGAGTTATATTTTTTAAGTGTTTTAAAATGGTTACTATTTAATTTTTCTGATCTAATATGCTTTTAAAAAATCCTATCCTTTTCCACTTACGTGTAAATTATTTAGAATTTTTTTAGACTTACAACTCTGCATCCATTAGCAAGGCTGATTGGTTGAACACTTCCAGTTCTTCCAACGAAAGACGAACACCTAATCAAATAAAACAAAAAGCCAATATAGCGCTCTTCTGGCAAGCTACTCCGACAGATGCTTCAACATGGCAAAATCATTCAATGATCTTGCGTGGCTACAGTACTTGTGTAAAAAAAAAAAATAGAATGTGATATAAACATTATCTCGTATAGATCCGCCCCAACTAAAGACAAAATCTGTAAGTATTTGACCCGACTACACTCTGTTAACCAGGATCTGTGATCATTGTCCTCCGAACGCCTCAACCCGGAACCATTCAACCGTGTCCGGGTTTGGTTGTGATAACGGGGCATGACTGCACAGATTAAAGGGGTATTTACATTCATTTTTTATATCTTGTCTCTTTTTCATTTTTTCCTTTCTTTTTTTTTGGGGGGGGGGGATAAACTGCCTAGTTTTTATGTCAATCTGAAAAGAATCTTCAACAAATTACTTTTGAGTTTTCCTTTCAAAATTTTCGAAATTGTTCTACACATCTAAGAAATAGCGATTGTAATTTAGTTATGCACTTAGCAAATTGAGAAAACAACCAAAAAAAGAAAGAAAGAAAGAAAACCCAACAAAACAAACAAACTTTGGCAAATCCCACACTTCAGCATTTGTAGCAGGGACCCATATATACACTACGTATATATACTTAGTTATATAGGTCCCTGTTTGTAATTTAAAAGAGATTCAGAAGAAAGAAGCTACCGTGTCTATCATATCCTCCCTTCGTCCTAACACTAGGTAGGACTGCACGTCCAGTTTTGTATTAAGTCTTTAAGACAATCTAAATGTTAATACCAGAATCCTCTCCCTAATTTATTAATAAGCTAACCTGTGTTGAAATTTATATATACCAGTATATATTTCTTCCTCCATCAAAGAGGCGGCTTTTTGAAATATAGAAATCGGATAAGTATAATACTTGTAGTTTGGTTAATTGCAGACATATGAGATATTCAATCTGATTAAAATCAGATCCTTTGATCCGCTCAAATAATCGCTACACAAGGTAATGTGTAGCGATCTATGTGGGCGGATCAAAGGATCTGATTTTAATCAGATTGATAAGATATTTCGATGCAAAACATCGATATAATTAAACTTTAATATATTTTTTCCCCTTTAGGGTCATAAGAAGATTTTTATTAGCCTTTATTACTTTTGAGTCTTGACACGTACCCGTCGCCATTTTGGAACCTAATGGCTGCTGCTTCCCCGTTTCTCTGGGGGAAGGTCAGGCACGTTTGTGTACGCCATTCATTGAGGGCAGCGTTTATCTCGTTCAGGGCAGAAGAGCCTGGAAAACAATAAATGTGCAATATATAACATCTGCCCCAGGGCAATAAATGTAAAGCATATGACATCTTGGTCAGGGCAATAAATGAAAAGTATTTGACGATTGGGCCAGGGCAAATAATGTAAACTTAAGCATATCACGTCTCGACAGGGCAATAAATATAAAGCATATACGTATGAACCTGGGTAATACTAGTTTACAGCAACGTGAGACCCAGGTGTTCTTTAGCGGGTGAGAGTGATTATCCCTAGAACTTCGCCCCACAGGTGTCGGCACCCCGAAAGAGATGAGGACATCTCATTCTTTGGAGGGGGCAGTATGGTAGTGTCAGATACACAGCTTCCTACTAGCTTGAGTTAGCCTTTAGCTCAATTAGTAGAGCACTGGACTGGTAAGTCAGAGCTCCGGGTTCAATCCCCAACAGAGGCAATAAAATGTCTTCGTTACAATAAAATGTCCGTCTTCCGACTGACTTTAAATATATTTGGCTATATATCTAGATTTGTGGGGTTATTCACTGAATGAATAAGCTGCTATCTCGTAGCTATATGTAACTCATTGAATTGTATTAGCTGCTTTCTCGTAGCTATATGTGTATAGTCACTCACTGAATGTACTAGCTGCTATCTCGTAGCTATATGTGTATAGTCACTCACTGAATGTACTAGCTGCTATCTCATAGGGTATGGTGTTACTGGGCCACCTCCGCCTTGTGTCACGAATGGCCTTCCTCTTCTTTCTCTTACCCATCTTTTCTTCCATTCTGTTCACAAGGAATAAAAAAATTACAACAGGAAAACAACCATTTACCAGTATTTAAATTGATTATTTTTTAAATTATTTTTTTTTTATTTGTTCTATTAAATTTTAATATCTCAATTTAGAAATAGTGTAATCATGTTAATACCTTTCTTTTTCTTCTTCAATGTATTCGTCCAGAGTCATTAATATGTCATATTCCTTCCTGACAATTCTAGAAGACTCGCTGGACACTAAGTCATACGCCATACCTTAAAAATAAATAATGAATTAAAGAACAAAGAAGTAATTTTACATAAAACAATTTCTCTACACAAACTGCTAAACCGGGGTTGAATATTTACTTCATAAAAAACTGAGACTTAAACGTGACCAAAACTACATACAATGGACACGAAAAAAGCCATAAGGTTAAAATATTTATACTACTAAATTCTACATTTTTTATAACAAAAAATCTGTGATAAATTGTTAAATACACAGATTTTCTGATTATTCCAGAGTGGTTGCTTATTTTTCTGATTATCATATATATTTTATATATCAATACAATTATCAGCATTGATGACTTGTCGCTTGCACTGATTTATCTCCATGGAAAACTACCCTTGGGTCAAGATTTGGATAATGCTTTTATTGAGATGCATCATTTATAATTAACTTGACTTACTATTTTCATTGGCATTTTTTATAGCTGTATCAATGGACATGCTCTCCGTCTGTTGAAATAAATAAAAGAAATTAACGATTAATTTGAAATTTTAAATTGAATCTAAATATTACGATTTTTTTCACCCCCTCCCAACCTTTTCTATATGTGAAGAATACTTCTACCTTAAAGACAAGAGCAAAAATCAAAGCACATCCCAAAATCTTCATCATGTCTTTAGTACTAGTCTCTATCTCGTATATCGCTGCAACTTTTGTCCATGGATAGATAATGACTTAATATTTATATTCTATGTAATACGTAATGCTAATGTGTCAGATCCTATTCTGTTACATAGGTCTGATAGTGTACCCCAAAATACGCATTTTACACAAACGTAAGGATGTACGTGCATGGTGTCTTATTATCTATATATGGTCACATATGAAAAAAGATGGGAAAGGGTTTTCATTTCTTATACCAAATAATGTTTTAAATGTTAGATTATTTATTTTAATTTTTTCATTTTGAACCATTGCGGGAAGTATATTTTAGAAGGAAATATGAAACTGTGTTATCCTTAGCTACGGTTTAAGTCCACTTAAGGCAATGTCCCCCCTGGAGGATGTATTATATATTATGACGACAGAGTAAGTAATAGGACATCACAGGGGCGGATTACGATGGAGCTGATGAGTCCTCGGTACAGATATCTGTTCTCACTTACATGCGGTACAATTTATAAAACCAGTATTGCGATATGTCCTCTGTTTTTATTCATTTCACGAAACGATCTCGGTTTTCATGTGACTAGTTTGAATTGATTCACCCCCCCCCCCCCCATTTCTAGCACAAAATATTAAATAAATATTTAGAATAGTTCGTATTAAATACATTTTATAAGTGAATGAATAAACGTCATTCTAATGACTGAAAAAAAACAGTTTATAAATAATATATATCTAACAATTTACAAATTTTGCCATGTTGAGTTATATTTGTCACATAAAATTTCACATATTGATTCAATTGAAAATATTGACCAATAAATATAAATCGTGAGTTCTTTATAGACATAACATCAGTACATTTAACCAATTTCATTGCAGTTACTTAAACAATAAAACTTCAATTTGTTATTTATATCAGAAAAAAATACATAACCCGCGTAAGCGGGTTATGTAAATTTTTTCTGCAATAGCTGCGACCGTTAATCTTTAACAAACAAAGAAAGAAAATTGTTTATATCTATATCAGTTTAAATATTCATTTAAAAATTAAAAAAGATTAATTATTGTATTAATGGTGCGAACGTTTTTATACGTTTCATTGATGGAACAGCCACTGATCAAGAAATCTGAAGAGGCGACATGTCTAATGTAGTTCATACAGTGATTAACGCAATGGATTTTCTTAACAAATAAAGGAGAAAATATTCAGTGGATGTAAATATATCATAATGTACACAAAGTCTTTTTCCTTTTTAAGTTTAGGGGTGTAAGACCTTCTACTAGTCTCAGCAATTTTGTATTCCAAAATTGTCTGTTTTCTTTTTATGATCTACTGCATCATTTTTGAAAGATTTTGAACTCATTAAATTTAATGTGCAAAATTAAACATATCTACACAGGATTTTCACTATCATTTAAGTGAGACAAAAAGATGTATAAGAGGCGGGCGCAGAACTAAACAAGTTGTGTACCAAAAAACCTTAACTTTACTTAAAATTTTGTCAATTTTTGGTTTAGGATTCGGGTATTCTGAGTAATTTTCCAATTAGATTGTTCTCTACATGAGTTTTGAAAAGATTATCAAATAGGTAACTTTTTTCAGAAAATGGCCAATCTAATGGGGAAATCCAGGAGCGTGAATTGCAAAATGTCAGAAAAGAATTCCTGGATTATCATGTAAAAAGTTTTCCAGCAAGTTACTCATAAGTAAAGATTTTCCAAGGTATATATATTTTTTATCATAAGACAAACTTTTAGCCTACTTTTGACTATTTTGTTATAAGGTTGAGTACTCATTATTATTATGAGAACAGCCTGCTAAAAGGAGATTATATACGATCATGACACTCTACATTTGTAATGTGTTGTTAATATGGGTGCAACTTAACACTACCCTAAACCTGGTAAACGAGCCATTATTTTCCCAATTCCGTTTGAATGTCATCATACCAAGTGGTTTCATACATCTAAAGCTATATATTTTAGGAGAATTGTATACATGTAAAACCACATCTGCTTTTGCAAGTTATTTTATTCTACGTGTACATTGATTTAATTGATATTAGAATTTTACTGAGTGTACATTTTCCAGTTGTTTGACCCAGTTGAATATATTGATCATTTTTATGCTGTTAATTGTCTGTTTACTCCTCCGTTGTTTTATCAAGTCTATTTATTTCCGTATAAATTATTCAAGTAAGTGGGTGAAAGAAAATCGTCGACTTAATTTCTTACTGTAGCACTTCTTAATTGTCACCTGTATATGGGGTTTATGTTTCTCAGTTTATTAGATAAGCAAAAGCATACTTTAAGAATAATCAATTTCTTATAAGACGAAAATATTGGAAAAAAAGTTGATATGGAACTTTTGGAAATAAAGAACAGTGTTCAGGATCAAAAGTCCATAAAACAAAACAAAATAGGAGCAGAGCAAACACGAACCTCCAAAACATCAGAGGTGGGATCAGGTATCATGGAGGATAGAGCATCCCCTGCTGACCGGTCACATGGAGATAACGAACAGTATTCAACATGAAAAGTCCATAAAACAATACAAAATAGGAGCAGGACAAACACGGATCTCTGAAACATCATAGGTGGGATCAGGTGCTATAGAGGAGTGAGCATCCCCTGTCGACCGGTCCCACCGCCGTGTGCTCCTTGTCATGATTGAGAAATAACGGAAAAATCTGTCATCAATTCAGTGTATAAATAAGGGACCAACAATTAGTATGAAAAATGTCAGTCAGCATTTGACTCAATGATAAATCATATTTGCTGACAAGGTCAGTGTATCGATCATAGAACTTACGAATTGATTACTTTAAAGGAGACTGCTGATATTCTTGTTTCATCAATTTGTTTGTATATAATTTACGTCGTTTTAGAAATTGTTCATACGTTGAGCATACTCTTGCGTGACCGAGAGATAAAAACTCCGTATGCAGGTGATAAGGGTGTATTACTGCATAAGTAAAGGAAGCTGACGATAGAAAAGTTGAAGTCATCACGTTTATCATCGACCTTAGTCGGTTAGATTAACATTTAAGTCTTTTCAAATAAAATATACAAATATGAAACAGATGTGTCAGACGATACACGGATATCAACAGTCTCTTCTGACGTCATCATTTCTCAAGTTTTATGGTCGAAACAGTGACCTTGTCAGCATTTTTCATAATAGTTGTTAGACCATTATTTACACACTAAATTGTCTACGAATTTTTCCCGGTCATAACAAGGAGCATTTGGAAGGGAATGCTCACTCTTCCACGGCACTTGATCCTACCTCTGACAATTTTGGAGGTCCTTGTTTGCTCTGCTCCTAATTTGTATTGTTTGTGTATTGTTTAAATGGGTTCTGAGCTTGAATGCTATTCGTTTCTCCATATTTCCTTTTACTGTTGAGAAATCTTTCAAATAGATGATCTTTAAAAATAGCCAGATTATTATTGTAGCAAATGGTTCGCCAAAAATAACGGAAAACGTATTTAATGGACGTATATAAACATTATGTTTTTGCATTGCATGCATAGCTGTTCCGGCGAGACGCGGGGGTGTGGAACTTTGCAATAAGGAAGGTTATGGAGATAACAAATAGTATTCAATATCAAAGTCCATAAAACAATACAAAATAGGAGCAGAGCAAACACGGACCTCCGAAACATTAGAGGTGGGATCAGGTATCATGGAGGAGTGAGCATTCCCTGCCGACCGGTCCCACCCGCCGTGTGCTCCTTGTCATGATCAGGTATCCGTTGTCAATTCAGTGTATAAATAATGGACTAACAATTTGTATGAAAAACGTCAGTCAGCATTTGACTCAATTATAAATTGAATTTGCTGACAAGGTCATTGTATCGACCGTAAAACTTACGAAATAATGACTTTAAACGAGTCTGCTGATACTATTGTTTAATCAACTTGTTTATCAATAATTTACCTCGTTTTAGAAATTGTTCATCCGTAGAGCATGCTCTTGCGTAACGAATCAACTGAAATATATATTATACTCCGTACGCAGGTGATGAAGTATATTGCTGCATAAGTAAGGGAAGCTGACTATAGAAAAGTTAAAGTCATCAAGTTTATCATATAGCTTGGATTGTTGATTGCCATTAACGTCTTTTTCAAGTAAAATATCCAGGTATGAAACAGATGTGTCAGATTAGTAGTATTATTTGGTATCATGTCATCATACATAAATCAAATACACAAAATTATACATGATCTTATAAAAGATGAAAGTTGATAATCAATAAATAAAGTAATAGTATTTTTAGAAATAAATTAAAATTCAACGTGACTAGATAGATACCAGGATAACCCATTAAAGCTCGAGAGCTTCTTTCCAATGGAGTCCTATCTTAAATAACAATAACAATACAATGTAATGAATGTTTCATCATTAAAGCACTATAGATATAATAATTTTGGCACAAGTATTTTAGAATAAACATCTGAATTGAGTTTAAGTACGATAACATTGACATTATAAATAAAATAGTATATAAATATTGCATGTAGTTGAGTGTAACATTGAAAATTTTCACCCCAAGAAAACCATTGTCAACCGGGCGCAGCACTCAACTACATGCAATATTTATTATATTATACTGAATGTTTTATACAAATACATATTACAGTGAACCATGCGCGCATAAATTCCGCGCAGTCGCTATTTTTTGTAATACCACCCGTCGTCAAGCAATGTTGACTGTTGCTACGCAGGAGGGCGTGGCTTCATTATTCAGCGGGTAGTAGTGTTTTTTATCAAATGTTTCTCGACGAATCAGATTCAAGTAATTTACATGAACGTATAATATTAAAATATATTTTATAGACTAGTACTGATACATATCACTTTCATGTTCTAAAATGCCCTTTTGCAAGATAAAACTCTTGACTTGTTTCTTAAAATTACTCTTTCCTTTTATACACTTAATAGAGGCTGGTAGAAAATTCCAGTCCTTCGTGCCATTGTAGTAATAAGTGTCCGCTTG